TGGTGGCAATACATCAACAGACATTTCCACAAATAGGTAAAGTTGAAATTAACTTGTTAAAATCAAGTCAAACGGCAAGAGTAATTTTATAGCAAAAATGCTTTTTGATTTTCTAAAAATAAAAAAAAAAATAAAATTTTATTCAGAAAATTTTTTATAAAAATAGAGGAAACTAGTATTTTTGAGATTTATTGCTTTTGTATTTTTAGGATTTTATTAAAGCTTAAAAAAGCAATGGAAATACTATGTATATCTTACATAAAAAATTAAGAAAATTCTATAAATTATTTTAAAAATTAAAAAAGATTTATAGTAGGTATGTATATTTAAATAATTAATTACTAAGTAGATTTATTAGTTAATTAATTTATTAAATTAAAGAAAATTAAGAAAGATTGGGAAATGGAAATAAATAAAAGTGAATGTAGAGAAAGGAATTGGACGACCCTTTTATTTTATAGGAGGTAATATATAAATGAGAAAAAAAAGTAAAAGGATGGGCGGTGCCCAAAAAAATTATTTTCTTATCAATTTTGTAATTATCTGTACCTTATATTTTGGTTTATTTACTATATTTTTTATTTACTACCCGCCCATTTAGTATTTTTAATATCAGGGGGTGGATTGAAAAAAATTAATTAAATTAGGTATGTTTAGGGCTTTTTTGTTAAAAAACAAAAAAAATGTTAAAAAAATATATTGGGGTTTAGTTAAAGAAACAAAAATAAATGTTTGTCTGTGTTTGTGTGATATTCACGTTTAAATTGAATGTATAAGAATTCTTTACTTAGTTGAGGGTATTATAAACAAAAAGTTAATTTTAATTTTTTGTTTTATAATTAAATAAAAATGAAAAGCTGTTATTAAAATAAATAAATAATAATTAGCAATCAATTCGATTAAGATCTAATTAAAAAAAGAAATTAAATGAAAAGAAGCTGGTTTTTAACAATTTTTAATAAATAAATTTCAATTTTAAAATAACATTTGGATAATTAAATTTTCTGATGTTTTAAAACATTCAAAAGAGAAATTATCCCTAAAAATATTCAGACAGATTTTGCTTTTTTTTAATTTTGATTGTAAAACAAATGATTGTAAAACAAATATATACACATAAGCAATTGACATTGGAAAAATATATAAAAAGCTTTACCCTTCCCTTTGTTTTCTCTTTAAATGTTTGCGAGACCTTGCAAAGAAATAATGCGCAAAATAATTATTAAAAAATTAATACCAAAATTATATAAATAAAATTATTTAGTAATTTAATTTAATTAAAGCACAAAAAAGAAGTATATACATATTATAAAGAATTGAGAAACTTTTGCTTTTATTTTTTATAAAAAATATCCAAATTTAAAATAAAAGAAAATTTGGTAAATTCAAAGAACCAAAAGTATTTGTAGGGAAATATTTTTGAAAAAATATTTTTTGAAAAATTAATCAAATTAATTTAAAATTAAAATAAGAGGGAATGGAATATTAAAATTAATTAATTTTAATTAAATATTCATTACATCATTTAAATATTTTAATTAATATTTTTTATTTAAATGCCTAAACATTTCAGATATTTATAAATATCTGAAATTCTATACTATAATGAACAAGCAAAACAAAAACTGTTGCGCATTTTAATGTTTTTAATTTCTATTGCCCACTACTATAATTACTATATATTTAAAACACAAACTATCCCAATTTTAAGTAAAAACCCCTTTTAATTGTCAGTAAATTTGCGCGATATTTTTTGTCTATAAAATATCAATCTGTCTAATTCGCTAATCATTATTAATTCTATAAACACCAAAAAACGAAAAGATATGTATGACCAATTGAAGATTTTCTTTTTAAAATTAATATATACAAAATATCTATTTAAAATTATATTGAAAAAATTGATTTACCGTATATGCCCAAATAATAATGCTTATTGTTAGTTATATGAACTCAACCAAATCTCGGAACTATCTAATCCTAATCCTTTTTTAGAATCCATTAAATAATAAAATTAATATAAATTTTTAATATAGATTCCTTCAAAAATTTGAGTTTTTTAAAAGCAAAGTCCAAAGTATTACATACTTTCTCTACAAATATTTATATAGCTCAATACTAATGTAATTATTTTAAAATATTATCAATTTATTCCTGTTTCATTCACATGTATAAATTAATTCCATTCCTTTCTAATTTTTTTTGTTAATTTTTGTAGTCTTAAATAATCTAAAATTAGTAAATGATCATGACGAACATAAAAACGTGCTTTTTGCTCTAAAGACTTGACTTTACTCTTTCTTAAAAGACTTTGAACTGCACTTTGATCAGAATATAAATTTGTTAATTCAAAATTAAAATTAAGGAAATAAATTTTTTAAATGCCGTTACTAATTATAAAGAAAATGATAAAATTAAAAATTAGTTAAAAGACTTTTAATTAAATACTAAATAAAATAAAGAAAATAAGTTTAGTTTTGAGAGATTGGGTGGGGGGGGGGGGGGGGGGCTAACTCAAGGAATACCAACTCAAGGAACGACCAACTCAAGGAATAGACAGTTTTTTGATTTGTCTGTTCCTTGAGTTAGCCCGACACGGAGAGATTAAAATATTTGATTAATAAAGTATTTTTAATTCATTTTTGCGTCTATTTTTAAAAGGAATTTAAAAATTAAAAGCAAAATTTCATATAAATATTTTTAAATTAATAAATAAAACAAAAGAAAATATTGAATAAAATATTAAAATAGATTGATTATCCACATCTAAAAGAGTTAAATAATTATAGTTTTATCGAGGAAATAATTTTTAAAAAATTTTTTGTGAGAAAAAAAAAGAAATAGAAAAATTTAGTTTATTCATATGTAATTCATTTTTTAATAATTAAAAATTAAATTATATTTATTGGGAAATTCATGTGAAATTCATTTATAATTAAATTATTTCTTTCAATTTTACATCAAATATAATTTTAAAATTAATTTTAAAAATTCTTTAATGTTAAATTTTTTAATTTAAAAATAAAAGAAATAATTTTTAAAATAATTTAAATGTTTTTTCGCTAACTTTCGCTAAGAAATTAATTGTAAAAACTATTTAAATATAAAACTTTTTCCTTTCTCTTATTAAACCTTTGTTATACGTACATGTTTGTTTACATAGTAAAAAATTTTTAAATCATTTTTTAAATTATTTTTAAAGAGAAATTTAATAAAAAATACTATAAAGAATGGGAAAAAATAATTTTTAACATAGACTTTATTTAATAATTATTAACGAATTTTAGTAAGATAACTACATAAATGAAATTTAAATATTTTTTTGTAAATAGGTGTTTTTAATCATACTTTCTAAAAATTTATAAAAAGCTTTAAAATATATACATATAATAGTAATTAATTAAATTATACTTACATACATATTGAAATACATAGAAATAACCGAAAAATTAACCTACATATAACCTTTTTCAAAAGCTATCTTTGGAAAACGGAAAATTGAGGCCGACTTTTTAAAAAATATTTTAACATCTGGCTTTCCAATTTTTTATTTTAGCCTATTCGAAGTTAGTTATCTCTCCAAAATCAACAGACAAATTAATTACCCTCAAAAATTCAGATTCAAGTTTCACTCTAAGGGAGAGGGATTGGTAAACACTTTATCGTAAACCATTTATTACTATGTATAACGGAAAAATACCGGTATTTTTAATTTTAATTATTCCACAAGTTTTTATAAAAAATGTAATTAAAATATTTATTAAGTTTCGTCATTAGAAAAAATTAAAGAAAACAACAAAAAAACAAGTAAAATAAATTTATTTATTTGATTCAAAACAAAATAATAAAAATAAAGTACAACCACATAACTATAAATTATTTATTATTTAAAAAATACTCTTTAGGTTCATAAAACACTAGGTTTGTAAAAAATAAGGAAATAATAATAAATTATTTTTAAATCAAAATTTGAAATTATACATAAAAAGAAAAGGAGATTGTTACTTTTCCGTTATACGACCACAAACTGAGTTCCATCCGACTTTGATCGACTATTAATTTTAAGGCTTGAACCAATACAAATGAATTTTGTCTTTCGAAAACCCTCGATAAGCTGTATATTTTTTTCTAATCGGATAGATCACGTTTATCGCTGATTAAGAAGTTATAAATCGACAAGTCCGGTTACTTGATGTTTTCACATTTGTCGTGTTAATTCTTTTTAATGTGTGACCAGACCTGATCCATCAAGTTGGGAAAAAGATACAGCTTATCAAGGGCTTTCGAATGATATAAAATCTATTTTTATTGGATCAAGCATCTTTCAAAAGCCCTCTATAAGCACTCAGTTTGCGGTCGTATAATGGAAATTTTTTGATTAATTTTAGAATTGTTTTTGTGGAGATTAATTAATTAACAAAATAGGATAACCAATATTTTTTATTTTTAAAATTATTCTTTTCTAAACAAAAATAAATCGTTGCCGTTATTTCTTTTTCCCCTTATCATTTTTCTAAATTTTTTTGCTTCAAAGTTATTTTATTTTTATAAAAGCTATATCAGCAGCAACAACAATTCTTCTCTTTATTATTTTCTTTTCCTATCAAAATATCAATTAATTAATTATAAATTGATATTTTGGATTATATAAATATTATTTTTTGCTTTTTTTACGCTTCTAGATTGTTTGAATTAATTAAAGAAATTCACATGAATTTATCGTTAAATATAATTGATATAAAACGGGAAAAAAAGAAATTTTTGATCTATCTAAATGAGAGATAATAACAAATTGAGGAAAATTATTTTTAAGATTTTGTAATTAATTACAAAAATATTTAACAAAAATATTTCTGAATTTTCTTTTAAATTTAAAAAAATAAAAAAAAGTAAAGACTTTGAATTTTATTTAAGAAGGATATATATTTTTAATTTAAAAATATTTAAGAAAATATTAAAAGAATTGAGGTTAAAAAATAATTGTTAAAGTATTATAATAAAATAAATTTCTTTATATATTTTTTAATTATTTTTTATTTTTCATTATTAACTTCATTTGTTTCTTCATCTTTTTTGCTGCCAAGAAGTGTTCTAATAGAACCTCTACTAGTGGAAATTAGTCTTTGGAGAATTTTACGGCTACTGCTTCTTTTCTTACGTCCAACTCTGACTAATCCTTCTGAAATAAATTAATTAAAAATAATTAAAGTTGTCTCTTGAATAATTTTTGATACAACAACTTTTCTCAGTTTTAATTTAAAAATTCTTCAAAAGATACAAATAATAAATGAAATTTACTAGAGACATCGAGTGTTCTAGAAGTCTTGAATTTCGGACTATGGACTTTACTTAGTTTTTTTATTTTTGAACTTGAATCTTAGACATTTTTGTCAAGTCTAAACCTCCTTTTTAATATTTTAATTTTTGTGTATTATTTAGAGACATATACTAATATTTACCTTCAATTGCTTTATTACAGCTTAATTTAAGCATTAGACGTGCCCACATCTCTTCAGGACTTTCATTACTTTTTTCTGGTTCTCCATCATAACAACGTCTACCATCTTCTGTATAACTTAATTTTTTCTTTGGAATTGGTTCTAATCGAATTTCTAAATAATGAAGAAATTTCTGTTCTTCTTCTGAAATACTGCTGCAAGCATTTCCGTTATTAGAATCTGTAGATGTTGAAAGTGGTGAACGTCTGCCAGCATAAAATTCAACAGGATTATCTACAGTGTGGTTATTCATCATTCCAATCATTTTTAATAAATAATTTTAAAGTTCTAAAACTATTTTTTAAAAAATTATAAATTAAGAAAATTAAATGAATTTTAAAGTTAATTAAAAAAACATTAGTAATTAAAAAACAAGTTTACCAAATAGATTTTAAAAAAATAATTAAATATATTTCATAGTATTTAATGAATATATACTATAATTTTAAAGTAAATAAATTATATTTTTATTCAAATAAGAGACAAATTAAATTTACTTATTAAATAATAATAATAAATTTATTAAAAATATTGGAAAAATTAGTAAGCGGATCTAGGATTTAAATACGCCATAACGGATTAATAAATCGTAGATAAAAAATGAAGGGAATGGGAGGAAGGGAGGGAGATATCGCTCTGGCAACTTTCCCTGTAGATAACTAATTAAAAAACGTATCTAAATCTAACTGTATTACCTTAAGTAATTCTTTTGATTTTTTTAAATTTTTAATGGAATAAATTTTAATTGAAAAAATACAAAAATAATTTTTAACAAAAATATTTACAAATATTTGAGTCTAAATAAATGACAAATATATTTTTAAGTAAAATTGTTTAAAATTAAATGATTTGGAAATAATTGATTTAATTTTGTTTATTCTATAATTGAAGAATGCGCGGGAATGAATGTGGCAAATATTTGTTTAAAAATAAATTTAGTCAATAAAATGATAAATATTGAAATATAACGGGAAAAGGAATGACATTTTATTTATTAAATTTTATTTTCTATAATTAAAATTATTCAGACGAGAACTACATTTAATAGATTAAATAGATTATTAAGGCCTGGAATCATATTTGGAACATAAGTTTAGGATTTGTTTTGATATTGTATTTTTAGAAATCGGTAATAAAACTTTAAAAAAGTAAAGGAAATAATTCTTAAATTAATAAAATTTAATTTTAATATTTTTTAATATAAAATAAAATCTGTGAAGAAAATAACCTTTAAAAATATACAGCTCTTATATATTTAAATTTATATAGAAATATTTTATTTGTCTATATAGAATGTTTGTCGTCATTAATTAATTGGAGCGGGAAGTTTATTAAAAAAATAAATGACTATGCAAAATTGAGTGCGTAATTAATACCCGGAAAAGTAGCAAAATAATTCTAAGAATTTAAATGAAAATAAAACGCCTTTAAATTATTTCTTAATAATTATGTACATAAAATAATATTTGCAGATTCAAGTAATTAATATACAATGCTAAAACAAGTTTTTTGAACATTTTATGTTATGATGAGGTATGCAAAACATGCAAAGTATGATTCGCATACGGATATGCCATGATTAGCGAAGCGCAAAAATGGTGTTTTTTAGGTCCGGTTCCTAATGCATATTTTTCCATATTTCGGCCGTCTCATGTAATTTGCTTTTTTTAAAGATTATTTGTCATAAAAAAATAATTTTAAGGTCATTCAGAGGAGATTGGTCTATTGGTGATTTTCTACCTATAGGTAAGGAAAATTGGCATAGAAAATGAATTTTTTATTTGAAATTTCGTAGGGACAGAATTTGACCGAGTAGTTGTTGGTTGCTATGGCACTTTCTAGAGTTTCGTCATTAACAAGTAATAAGCAAAAAAATGAGGGATTAAAAATTACTAATGGAGAAGTTAATGAAAAAGAGCAAAGCCAATTAGTTAATACAAATGGATTAAAACGACATCATTCATCGAGAAAACGAATTTCTTCAAGAAGAGGAAGAAGAAATGAGTAAATATATTTCCTCTAAGGATTTTTTTCTCAAATTTAATTTTAGAAATGGTTTTGCTCCTAACAATGATCAAGATAATCAAAACAATGAACAGCATAAAACTGATCTGAACCAAGAAAAGCCGGTTTGATAATAAAAATGATCTCAAATAATCCATCCATTAATATAAAATTTATTATTCTTTTCTTTGTGTATAAAAATATTTATTATTATTAGACACGATTTAACAAATGAATTTTCAGGACAATAATGTGTAGAAGAATTGGATTATTATAGTACACATACATACAGATAAATTAAGTCAGGTGAAAGAAAATTTGGGAATACAAATAACCCTATTTATAGCTGATTATGAGAATTTTTATTTCTCTTCCTATTGTTTGTTCGTTTCTTTATCATCTTCCTCATCGGTGTTGACACCTCCAGTACCGTGCTCGAAGAGACAACGAGTTCGATCGAAGCGCTCAGATTGTGAAGGAAATTGCATTTTGAGAGCCAGTTGCTGCGTCGAGACGAAATTGTCACCATCGTTGGTCTTAGTCATCTGCTCACAAGGTTGCAGTGCCACAGATTCATGCTGTATATCCTCATTAGCGTTTTTGCCGTTCTCATCCTTGATGGAAACCTCCTCAGCTGTTGTTGTTTCCTTCACTCCGTGTTGACCAACAATGCGCATTTGATCAAGCGCCAATTGGACAATGTGTTCCTATAGAAAAATTACATATAGATAATTTTTTTCTACTTAATTATCACCTTTCTGCGCTCCTCAATTCCCTCTGCGTCCTTCACATCATTCCGGTTGTTGTCTTGCTTCAATTCAGAAGTTTCATCTTCTTCCACTGGATCTTCATTCTCTGGTGCCTCGAAGATAGTGTTCAGGTCTGAGAAGGTGACACGTCGTCGCAATGAACCTGAGCTTATGATGGCAGTTTCAGGAATGTAGTCTTCTTGCTGTTGCTCTTTGTTCTCTGAAGGGAAGTTCAACAACAGCGCCTTTTCAAGAGGAAACGCGATTTTCTCCTCATTCTCATCATGAACGACATCTTCCTTCTTTTCAACAGAATGTGGTTGCATCTCTTGTTCTTTGGCGGTGTTTATGCTCTGATCATTGCTCCCAAACATTTGGCCCAGATGGAGAGATTCATCATCCGAACGATATGCTTAAAAAATAAAATCATTAAACATTATTTAACAATACATGCCAACTCACCAAAGGAATCATCAGGATCAAGAAGTTGGAATATTCCATCGTCGGACTTAGGCGCACGCACAGGAACTGGAGCAATATCGCCAACATTTCCATCGAAGGTGACAGTCTGAAATATAATTCATTAAACCTGCTCAAAAGGGAATGCTTGCCTGCTCCTCCAACACAGAATCTGTCTGAGTGCCATTTTCGAAGAGAATTGGAGTAGTGGGTCGATAATGAACAGTCGGTGAATAATGATGAGATTCGTAAGAAGCCTCAGCTTTACCACGTACCGCTTCAAGTATCGCGCGCCCCCAATCCAAGACTAGGGCCTCTGGAAGACGGATTTTTACCGAGCCAAAGTTCCACTTCACACGAACATTGCAGATTCTTTGCGTTGTTGTTGATAGAAACATCTGATAATTAAAAGGAAATATTACAACTTTTAATTGTATTTACTTTTCTTATTTTTACCTTCTGAGTTTTGCATTTGAATTCCGCTCTTGCAGCCTTGCTCAGATTAACGGTGAAGCCCTCGTGCTTCCAATTGTCCGTATAGATGACCATATGACCTTGCTTGCTCAGAACACATGTATGTATGCCATAGGACACCGCTCGTTCAATTCCGAACAGCCCACGACGCTTGATGGTCACATCCAACGAGGCAAACCGGAATGAGCCACGATCCAAGACACGTTTCCACACATCCAACGGAGGCAAAACAGCTTTCTGTATAAAAATTATATCAATTAAATTATTGTTTAAAAAAGTATAATAAACTTACTTTGGTGAACTCATGTTGAACCCGAATGACGAACAATTCAACTTCGCACTGACGAGTATCTGAAGCCTGGGCAGGACTACCGCTTATCATCTTTAGGGGCGAAGGAACCAGTTGACGTTCGCAGGTATATTGCTGACCCAACAAGGATACTCCAGCCATGTGAGAATGCAGCTCGCCAGCCATGTGAGATTGCCGTGCCAATGATATTGTTTTAGGCGCTAATGACAAATTGAAGTTTAGATTTGTTCATTCATCTCTTGCTTTTATATGAAAAAATATTACTTCGCTGCGAAACAATCCAGCAATTCTCCTCCAAATGCTCTCCGTCGTCTGCAACAGGAGCTTGTTGATGTGACTGACAATCCAATCGAGGGTATTAAAGTTCATTCTACTGCCGAAAATATTTTCATATAGAAGGTTGCCATATTTGGTGCACCTGGAACGATCTATCAGGTCCTTTTACATTAATCGTTTTTGAAGGAATATTGAAATTTTTAATTTTACAGGGAGGCTACTTCAAGGCGGTTGGTACCTTTGTCGCTTCTACATAATTCAACATTTTTGCAGACGCTCAAGTTCCCGCCCAGATATCCATTCGAGCCTCCTTCCATGCGCTTCGATAATCCACTCTTTCATCCTAATGTGTATAAGGACGGAAGAGTATGCATAAGCATCATGCATCCACCTGGCCAGGATAAGCTGAGTGGAGAAGTAATATAACATGAATTTTACTAAAAAATCTCGTATGTTTTTTAGTCGGCCGCCGAACGTTGGAACCCTGCTCATGGCGTCCGCAGTATTTTACTTTCCGTGATATCGATGCTGAATGAGCCTAACATTTTTTCACCGGCAAATGTGGATGCTTATGTGGGATACCGCAAGTACATATAAGGGTAATAAAAACATTAAAAATTGCCTCCAACAATAAATAATTTTTTCAGAGAATGGCAACAAAGTTCCCAGATATAATCAAGTATGAAAATAGTGTGAACGATTAAAATGTATATTTTTGTTTCAGGAAAATGGTTGAAAAGTTGAAGGCGGAGGCTGCTAAGGACGGAGTGAATGTACCTGAAACTGAGGAGGAGTACGTAATCAGAGCTAGAGTAAGGCGTCAGCAAGCGGAGAACGAAGGTGGCACTGATAATGGCGATGTTGGCCTAGAGGGTAATTATTAATAACTGAAATACTTTTAAAAAGTTCTCATATTTAGAAGAGTTCTATGATGGTTGATTCTGTTGATGCGCTAGTCTGATGTGTAGGAATTGATGTATGTACTTAATTAATAAATGAAAAATAGATGATTAGTATGTATAACAAACTATTGTGTATAATTCCCTATTTTTATCCCTATCTTTAAATGTGATTAGGTAATTATGTATTTATATTAGAATGTATATTCCTTTATTGTATAGTTAAACTTATCTCGAGTATAAAATTGGTAGAGCATTTGGATTAAGAATTTAAGGATAAAGCACAAAACAAAATTTTGAACCGAATTTTGTAAATAAAAAAACCCGAAACACGTGTGTAAGAAATTAAAGGCTGACAGAAAGTAAATGCACACTTGTAAATTTATCAGAACTTTTTCGAAGTTTACATTTTTTAATAGTATGTTTATACTAATTTTGTAGCCCATTCAATTCTCATTTATTTAGTATTTACCTTTCTTACAAAATATTTAGCGTTTGCAAAATTTCACCTCCATCTTAAAATAAAATTGCATCTACAGTAATAAAATATTTATTGAAAAGAAAAAAAATGAAAGTGAAAGAAAACAGAAATGCACAAAAAAACAATAAATCGAAAATTATAATCGGTTGAATAAATAGTAGTAAATGTGTGAAGCTTTTATTCAAAAATTTAAAAATTAATTTAGAAACATTCACACTTTCTTTTCTATTTTTAAATTAAAAGCTTCAAATAATTTCATTATTATTTACAATATTATTTTCAGTTTGTGTAATTATTTGTGGTGTTGAATTAAATAAATATAAAGGTACTCTTCTAAATAATAATTGTTTAACATCATCCCTTCCCATTTCTGACAAAATTGTTGCTAAACGACCAATAGAAGCATTTCCCGCTGTCGTTATAGCCCATTCTGCCAATAATTGGTCTGTCCTGGAAAGTGATTGTCCAGTAGAATCGACACTCGGCAATGCTTCTGCCAAATTTAACCGAACAGCTAAAATACTCCAATCACGACCCATTGGATCTGAAGGATCTAATAAAGCTGCCAATTCTGAACGAGTACATGGCTGTAATTGAGCAACGGAAATATCTATTCCAAGGGAGAGAAGGCCGGCAACTTCTGTTGAACCAAAACAAACCTTTTATTTAAGAAAATAATTAAAATTTAAAATTAAAAAAACTAACAACATCAGTAAACTCTTCTTGTTCTCCATCACTATTTTCAATTATAAGAGATTCATTTAATTGCATTTCCATAATTACTTCAGGTGTAAATGAAGCTGGATCTGATAGGAAAAATATAATAATTATTTTTATTGAACAACGAATTAAAACTTGTTCTGTGTTCTTTCAAATGTTTAGGAGAAAGAAAATGTCTTTCAGTACTAATCCCTGGAGCTACTTCTGCTGCTGTCTGTTCGACTAAATTAGTTAAATCTTCAAGAAAGTAAATTGCAGCTAAATTAAAAAACTTTTAATTATTTTCTTTTTTTCTTTCTCACAATTAGACATAGAAGAAGGTCCACGTATTTGTACTTCAACAGAATCCCCAATTAAACGTACAAGTGCTTCCATTTTTCCAGATAACATTTTTGAACAGCCCTTCCATTGTAATAATTCTGCATCCAAAGAATCCTTTCAATTAAATTAAATATTTATTTTTATTTCCTTTAAAAACTACCTGAAAGTCTTGCATACTTTTTCTCATGGAAACTTGAATTCGAGGAAATATTGCTTGCATTGTTTGTTCCATTCCCCTTGCTGGTTTAATTCTTAAACCCGCATAGAGAAATTGAGGTCTATTTGGTTGCCAAATATCAATTGGGGGATTACAAGTAATAAATGCTGGGAATTCAAAATCTGGCTCGACAAGAGAACAAATCTTCAAGAAATAATTAGAATTAAATTTTTGAATAAATATTTAATTAATAACTTGAAGTGTTTCCATAATTTGTAGTAAATCCCCAGTATCAGCAACTTCAGGGAATGCAGCAGCAAAATCTTCAAACATCAGCCTCCCATTTGTACGGTTTGTTTGAGCAAATTGGTTAGAGAATAAAGTACCCAATAAATGAGTACCTAACCATTCTGGGGAAATTCTAGAAATAATTTAATTAAAAGAAAGAAAAGGTTGTTGGTTAATAATTGGTTAATCAACTAAATTGGTTGATAGATTTTTGGAACAAATACATAGTACGAGAGATTTGGTAATTTTTTAGATTTTTTAGAATTAAATATATTTATTTTCTCAATTTAATTCCAACCAAACTTACACAATATAATCCAATTCTTTACATTCATCACGTAAATAAACAACTTCTCCAATTAATTGTAATTGTTGAATTAATTGACGGCCTAAAGATATAATTTAAAAGAAAATTATTTTTTAAATAAAAACAAACAATGTCCATCACTAGCTAAAGGATTAACTTCTGATGGAATTAAATAAGTAAAATAATTCCAAGTAACACAAGGAAATTGGGAATATTTTTCTCGAAGTTGTTCAAGGAAAAGTAATGCTGGATCTAATAAACGAAGTGGGCGTTGTAGTCTCTACAAAAAAATTAAGAGATTAAAACAAAACATTTTTGGAATAATTTACTTGTAAAATAGATTCTCTTGATTTGACTAGAAAATTCCTCAATTCTTTTAATCCTTTACAATCTGTTTGTGCAGAAAGATCTACCAAAAGTAATTGTGGATGGATTTCAAAATGTGTCTCAAAACGCATTTTTAATGTTTTCATCATTGCCTCAGCCTCATTTAAAGTAATTGGTGGTTGAGAAGAAGGAGGAGGAGAGGAAGGAGAGGAGGAAGAGGAGGAATCTGTCCCGTAAAATGTTCCAACAATAGCAACAACTGCACGACGAGCCATTAATCCACAATGTCCAATAGGTTCAGTAGGTGTTACCCGGCCTTTTAGAAAATTAAGCCAATAAAGTAATTCTTTATATTCGTCTTGAGGATCATCAGAACAACGAGTGACAACCTCAAAAATTTTTGAATAAAAATTTAAGAAAATTTTATTTTTTACTAAATGAACACAATCAGTATTTCCAACAAAATGATCATAACAAATATGAGAAGGTTCATGTCCAGAAAAATTCCAAACAGAAAATTCACCACACTCTATTAAAAAATTAAATATTTTATTAAAGGATAAGAATAGAGATCGGCATGGATCCGGACCAAAGTCAAAATCAGGATATTTTTCTTTATTTTTCCTTGACTCAAAATCAAAAATCTAGTCAATGTCCTCAACCAAAATTACGAAACAAGGTCGAGGTTTTTGAAAATTTCCGATCTCTAGATAATAACATTTATTTAATGTTAAGATTTATTTATATCTTTTGGTTAAACTAAAAAGAATTATTTTTATTACCAGTAAAAGACATATTTTGTATATCAATTCCTTGTTGTCCATTTTTGAATTCTTTATTATTATTATTACCAGAAATTGTATTATTTGAATAAGGCCAAGTTTTGTGTCTATTTGGAGGGGGAAGTTGTTGTTGTTGTTGAGAATTAATAGCTGAAGAAGAAGTAGATGATGTAGATGAAGTAGCTGAATGAATACCTTCATCAGATGTTGATGAAGAAAAAGTACAATCATTATTTTGATTTCCTTTATTTGAATGAACAGAAGGAGGGCCTGTTTGTGTTGTTGAAGATGAAAGAAAAAGACTTCCAGAAAATCTACGAGAAACAGACTCCACCAAAGAATTTAATGAAGAAGCAGAAGAGGGACGTTGTAAGGCTTGAATTAGACGAGTTTTACCGGCACCTGAAAAAATTTTTTAAATTAAAAATAATTTTCTTCCAAAAAACACCTTGTGAACCAAAAACTTTTAATTTAATTCTATTTAAAGGAATATCTAAAGTTGTTAATTGTTCAACAAATTTTTGTCTTTCCTTTTCTTGTTTAACTTTTCCTAAGAGAACAGCAATATGTTTATGTTCTTGAGCTAAAGCTACAATTTCTGCTGTCATTCCGTCCTTAAAAATTATTTTTTTGTTAAAATAAAAAAATATTTTTTAATATTTTTTAATTGAGTGTGTGGCTGTATAATTTAAAATATATTTTTATTAAAATTTTCGCGCAATTTATTCTTGTTTTGAATTTTTATTTTTTATCTAACTTAATCCTTTATATAATTATTTTTTAAAAATAATAATTATTTACATTAGTTTTTAAATGTACATTAGCCCCAGCAAGACATAAACACCTAACAATTTCAATACTTCCAAATCTAGCAGCAACATGTAAGGGGGAAAGACCTTGGGAATTTTGTATATCAATTGGAATATTTAATTGGCAAATTGTTTGAGCAATTGTAAAAAGTCCTTTTTCAGCAGCTAAATGTAAAGGAGTATCTCCATTTTGGTCTTGAATTGTTGAATTACACCTTTTAAATTAAAAATATATATTTTTTAATTAATTTATTTAAAATTACCCTCTCCCCAATAAAAGTATTGCTATATCAACATGACCTCTTGAAAGAGCCATATGTAATGCTGTTTGGCCAGACTGAAAATATTTTTTAGATTTTTTTATTATCTCCACAATTTAAAAAATGTGAAACAAAATAAAAACTCTTGAATCCTCAGGGATCATTTATTGAAATAATTTATAAAAATGAATAAAAAAATAATCATAGGAAAACAATTTTTGAAAAATATTTTAATTAATTACTTGATTCTGTAAATCAACTTGCGCTCCATTTTCCAACAAACTTTCCAAACATTCCAAATGCCCTCTAATTGCAGCAATATGTAATGCCGAGTCCCCATCCTAAATAAAATATTTTTATGTATTTTTATTTAATTTTTTAAAAAATCTTTTCCCCTAAAAACCTTTTGTAATTTAGCATTAATTTCTTCATCACACATTTTTATTATTAAAAATTAAATTTTTTACTAAAAATTTTAATGATTAAGAATTGGCAAATAAAAATAATCAATTAAATAAATTTAAGTAATTAATTATAGAGGATGTAAAAAAAATATAAAAATTATTTTAAGAGTTTTAACAAAATTAATGAGAAATTTTTGAGTATAAACAAATAATCATTTTTTAAATAAACAACAAAAAAAAATAAATTTGGAATATTAAAATTATTTTCAATAGAATATTGTGAATAAAGTAAAAATCTGGCCAAATAAGTCAAGTGTGTGTGACGGAGAATTTGAAGAGCTGTTTTTGAGGTGAAATTTACAAAAAATTGTTTTTACTAAGTATTAGGGCAGTTTTTTAATTTTTGAGGAAGTTTTGAAATATTTGGAAATTATTTTGAATAAAAAAATTTTTAATTCTAAGTTTTATATAATTTAAATAAAAATATTTATTTTAGGATTTATTTAATAAAATTAATAAAAATTTAAAAATAAATTTGGACAAATAAATTCCTGTTTGTGTTCTAAAGTTGAATTGATGTAGATAAAAATATAGCCAGAAAGGTATGGAAAATAAATTTCCCTTATTTGGATGACATGGTGAATAAATAAATCCTTTTCCTTCGCTCATTCAAAAGGATTTTGTGGCTGCGCAAAGCCTTGTGTCACTTATTGAAAATTTATTATTGAGAATAAATATACTAATATTTTAATATTCTGGCCAATGCGCAAACATATTATATGGAAAATAAGGAAAATATAGTGTAAAAGACAGGTGAGCATAGTATGAAAATAAAAGAAAAAAAGATTTTGTAAAGCTTAATTTTATTGAATATAAGAAAAAAAATTTTTTCATGCATACTAGGCATAAATACATACTTTTAAAAGATATGTAAAAGGCATGAAAAAAATATAATTTCTTGAAAAAATTTCTTTAATATACAGCATTTATTCTAATAGACCCCGTCTCTATTAGAACCAAAGTCTCTAAAATTTATTATTGAGAACCCCAAATGAAGGGGTTGATAAATAGAAACACAGGTGGTTCTATTAGAATAAATGCAGTACATATAATATTTAGAAAAAACAAAGTATTATATAAAATATAAAATTTATTTTCATGCATTTAGTATTAAATTATTGACTCAACAAGTAGCAGACACACGAACAAAAAAGGCTTTAAAAAGCCAATAACACTACTCCAATTTTTGTTTGTAAAGCTTACACCTCCTCAATTTTTCCCAAAATGCTAGGCAAAAATAGAAAAATATTTATATATCTCACACAAAATAATTTCGGCTTAAGCTTTTTTGCATGCATTTATGGAAAGAATAATGGATTGAAAAATAGAAAAAAAAATAAATATATTTTTTATAGAAAAATAAAATTTTTTTATTTATTTGTATTTTCCTTAAACTTATATAATCATAATTTGGATTAGCTAAAATATGCAAACAAAATTCAAGAATCTAGCAGGGTTTTTAATAGAAAAATTTATTTACAAAGAAAATTTTTAAATTTTATATTTTGCCAAAATAGAGGAAAATAAATGATAGACAAAAAGTTAAATAGGGAGTAGTGCAATTTATTTTCCAATTAATTTAACAATTTAAATTACCGAATTCTGAATATCCAAAAAATGACTGAAACGGCAAAGTAAATCCAAAAGGCCATTCTGTCCATCCCAAGCAGCAATGTGAAGTGAAGTTTCCAAATGCTAAATTTATGTTTATATTTTTAAATTTATATTTAACTAAATTATTTTTAATCCTTTTAATTTCGGTTAAAATAATATAAAGGTTATATTTTCATATTTAGATTATTCGATACCAGTTTACTTTAAATTAATTAATTTTTTTACTTTATCCATCAAATGTGGATCAGCACCAGCTTCTAGTAATGCAAGAACTGCTTTTCCTTGTGTGTATCTTGTAGCTATATGTAAAGCTGTTTCTTGATTCTAAATTTTTTTTAATTTAAACTTAAACTTTAAAAATTTACTTTATTTGTAGCATTAACCATTTCAATAGATTTAAGTAAATATTTAAATACATTTGTATGTCCTTAAATATTTATTTTAAAATATTTTTATTTTAATTTAAAACCATTTCTTGCTGCCCATATAAGAGGAGTATCTCCCTGTCCATCACCAATATTTGGATTACACCCACATTTTAAAAGAAAATGTACCAATTCCTCAAATCCATTTCCACTAGCTACATGTAAAGGGGTTTCATCCAACTATTTAAATTTAATTTTTTAATAGAAAGTTGGAAGTTTATAAAAACCTCATTTTTTAAATGAGCTAATTCAACAAAACAACTGGAAACAAATTGCCTTAATTCAGGCAAAGCACCACGCTCACAGGCAAGAAAGATAGCACTGGCAACTGAATCATTCTGTTATAAAAAATTTAATTTATTTTTAAATCAGACATTTAAAAAAGTTAATTATTAAATAATGATTGGAAAATTAAAATTTAATTACTAAATATTTCAATTCCTCTAAAAACTTACATTTAAATACATTAATCCTCCCCTTCCAGCTTCTTCGTAAAAATAATTATTAATTTCGGCACTATTAAAACTAATTGAGGAATTTTCAGGTGAATTAGAAGAATAATAGGAAGAGGAAGAAGAATGACCGTGTAAACTTCCTCCACGGATAAGGCGCATTTTTCTGAGATTTTTTTTGTTTTTTTATTATTTATTATAAAAAAGTAAAAAGTAAAAGTCAGTTGTTTTAAAAATAAGAGAACAATAAATAAAGTGATTATTTAGTTTTTTCTTTTGGAATTTATTTGACGAACAAAAGATTATATCTATGTTAAATAATAAATTGATAAAATATTTAAAAATTGATATTTAAATTTGTTTTTTATGTACTATAAAGAAAAAGAAGATTAATATACCGTAAATGCTGAAATAATTACCCTGGGTAATTATTGTTTCGATCTCTCGCTGAGGGGGGTAATTATTAGGGCGGGGGTAATTATTTGAGAGAGGGTAATTATTTCAGCATTTACGGTATTTAAAAATTAAAAATAGAAAGTCAGGCAAATAAAAACTTAAAATACAAAGCTTTAATTACTAAAGACAAAAAAGTCCAAAAAATATAAGAGAACCTCGATAATCTGAAACTAAAACTTTAATCCAGTTTTGATTGAAAGGTAAATTAAATAAATTCCTGTCATAATAAGCACAAAACAATTAAAAGAAAATATAATTTGGAAATATTTTGTTTTTTGTTTATCAAAACTAAAAATAATAGTTTTTAAATAAAGAATTTAAATAAATTTTGATTTTAAATCTAATTTTTAAAAGTTAATTAGAAAAGAACAAAAATAAAAAAAGATAATGATCTGCCCTTCAAATCGACAAAAAACTGACATGTTTATTGTTTAGATTTAATAGATTTAAATAAAATAAATATTGACAGATGGAATAAAATAAATGGATTTTTAAAAAAGAAAGTAAATTTAATTTAAATTTTTAAATAAATTAATTTAATAAATATTAATTGAAATATTTTTAATTAAGTTGTTTACAGATTTTATTTTGTCAAAAAAATAAAGATTTTTTAACAAAATAATAGACTAATCACTCGTGAAAAGAGTTAATATTTATTTATTATATTTTTTGAACGAATTAAATATTTTATTGACAAGTGATTAAAGTTGGTTGAATATTTTTTTAATAAATTTTGTTAAAAATAAACGAATATATGTAACGATGACGAATAAATAAAAAAAAATAAATAGAAAAATAACTAAAATAATTTTTTAAATGTTTTTAATTCAAAAACAAATATTTTTGTATTTAAAAAGTAATTATGAATGTGTAAAGGAATTTCTCAATAAGTTAAATAAAAATTTAGAATTTTTTGATAAGGTTAATGTAACATAAAATTTGATATAAGAACATTTAGAAATTTTTTCTTTGTAGAAAGAAAAATATATTTAGTCAGCAGCAATTTAATTGAATTTTTAAAATAAAGTGTTTAAATTAGTATTAGGAATTTCTAAATTAATAATTATATAAACTTTAAAAAATCATAATTACTCTTTGTTTTATTAAAAAATTAAAATATTTATTTAAATACTTTTTTGCTTTTTCTTTGTTTTTAAGTAGAACGTTAATAAGAATAAAAAAAAATTATTTTAAAAGATTGATGGACTTTTAAATAAAATTTAATAATTTTATTATTAAAAAAGTATTTTTTAGTTTAATTAATTAAAAAAAGAAAAAGCAACGTTAAACAGAAACTGTGCGCACGCTAAAAGAAAAATGAACTAAAATTGGGTAGGAGAGAATAAATAAAATGATTTGTGGGGCTTTTTGCGAAAAAAAAGGAGAAGAAAATTTGTGGAAGAAGAAAATTAATAAATATTTTTTTGGTTATAGCGCAACTAAAAAATATTAATAATTAATTAATTTTAATTAAATAGAAAAATTATTTTGGGTAGAATTTTCTTTTTGGAAAGATAATAAATTTAAAATAAATTTAAATTTAAAAATTAAATTAAACCAAGCAAATAAAAGGATTACATATTTATTTAATCCTTTTAGTAATTATTTGTAAATTTATTTAATGAAGGAAAAATCGGGAAGAGTAGAACAAAGAAATTATTGTAATTTTAAATAGAGTAATTGAAGGATTTAAAAATTTTTTGAGTGATTAATAAAAGAAAAAAAGGGGAGGAGGAATTTATACATTACAGTTAAATTACAAAATAAAGTTTAATTTAAAAATTTAAATCGTCACTACGTGTAATGGGAAAATTAAAAAAAATATTGAGAAAGACAGTAAACGGAAATACATCCCTTGAAAAAATTTTTTTAAAGAAATTGATTTGTTTTTTAATAAAAAATAAAATTAAAAAAGAAAAAGATTTACAAGTACTTAAAAATATACGTAAAAGTTAACTATGACGGGGAAATTGGGCGAGATTACAGCAAATTAGAAACTCGTAAAAATAAATTTTAGAGTATTTACTGCGCATCTTCTTCACTTCCCCTATTTCTCCGAAATTTTTTTTAATCTTCTTCCACCATTTTGGGCGAAATAAATAAAAAAATAAGTATTTTTTGTAATTGATTTTTAAATAAAATGATTAAGGTAAACGTGTAGTCCTTGATTTTTTTCCAGGTTTGAGTGGTACTTTAATTTAAAGTTTTTTTGAGTTTAAGAAAAGAGTAAAGATTAATAGAATTTTTAAAAAATATTAGTTGAAATATTAAAATACTTATATATTAATTAAATGAAAAAAATATTTAATTAAAATTTTCTTTAAAAAAATATTTCGAAAAATCTGCCAACTTTTGAAAAAAAAAATTAATAAATTTAAAAAATAATAAAAGTATTAAAAACCGGCTTTAAAAATAAACTTCTAAAAGCAATAAATATAAAATAAATATAAAATAAGGGGGGGTGGTTGTGTGTGCGTGTGTATTTTACTTGTCTTAATCAGATGTCAATCAAATAAACGTTTGTTACGCCTTGTCTTTTACTATTAACTTGTTATTATTATAATAATATTTTTATAACTTTTTTTGCCTTGTCCTTTTAATTTTTAATTTAAAAGAAATATGAAAATTTAAAATAATTTTTAAGGAAAAAAAGTTTTAAAAAATTAAAAAAAAACATTTTCCAATCATTATATGTATGTATAATTATTTTTAAATTAAATTACCTCTCTAAAATATCTAGACTGCTCTCTATCCCCAATTCCATTCAAAAAAGAACAACACCAACGAACAGCTTTATAAGCTTTCTAATAAAAAATATTTTTATTTAAAATATTCTATATTTCTCCAAACCTTCCATCTTTTCCTTGATTGACTAATTATTGGGGAGATTATATTTTTATATTTTTTATAATCTATTTTTATATTTTCCAAGTCATAATCATCAAGATAAAGAATTAAAGATTTATTTGAAGAAAGCTGAGAAGGGATTTGTTGTTGTTGTTGGGAGGATGGTGATATATGCTTGAAATAAAAATTTAAATAAAAAAAAGAATTTTTTGATAAAGTTTGGAGAGTATAAAAAACGAGAATATAATTAAAATTTAAATTAAAATTCTCGATTAATAACCATTTTAATCCATTCATGTTCTAGACAATCATCAATTGTTGCTCTTTTATTTACATCTCTAACCAACATTCTCCCAATAAAATCTTTAACTATTAAACTAAAATTTGAGCATAAATGTTCAGGGAATTTGTAATTAACAGCAGAAATATTTGCAAATGTTTTTTCTCGAGTTTTGCCCAAAAATGGGGATGCTCCGCTTAAACTTTAAATTTAAAAAAATTAATTTTTTAAGAAAATTAAAAATTCAAACAGAATAAAGGTAACAACACCAATTGCCCAAATATCTGTTGCTAATTGAAGTGGCTCAGAATTAATTATTTCTGGTGCTTAAATAAATAAATTTATTTTTTTAATTTTAATTTAAATTAAAAACTAACCAACAAATTCAGGCGTCCCCACCATTTCTCTAATACAACTTTTTGGGGGTAATTGTCTAGATAACCCAAAATCAATTAATTTAATCTTTGCTTTCCCACTTTCTTTCAATAAAATATTTTCAGGTTTAATGTCTAAATGGGCTATTTGTAATTTATGTAAATGCTTAATAGCCCTCAATATTTGATAAATAAATTGGGCAGCCTCATTTTCTGTTAAATATTCGTTTGTATAAACATAATCAAATAATTCTCCTCCACAAATTCTTAATAAATTTAAAATTAAAAATAAATTCTCTTTCTTACAATTCCAAAACTAAAATCATTTCATGTCCATTCTCGAATAAATCAATTAATTGAATTATTGAATCATGTCCAGCAACAGTTTGTAAAATATCTACTTCTCTTTGAATGTGTGATTTTAGAACGCCACGACGGGATGTTGGATAACGGCGCTTTAAAAATAAATTATTAAAATTATGTAATTTTATCATTTAGAAGTTCCTTCCCTCCTCTTCCCTCCTCTCCCCTCTCCCCCTTCCCCTCTTTTAATTAAAAACTTTTTAAGAACCTTTCTAATAAATTTTGCCGCAAATCTTTCCCCAGTGGCTCTATTTCTAACCCTCCTAACAGTTGCAAATTGTCCACTTCCAACTTCCTCTTCAATTTCATAATGTTGTTCAAATGGTTCTTCATTTGCAGAAATTAATGGGGGGCGCATTTAGTAAATGTTTTAAAAATTTTTAAATTAATATTTCTCTTTATTTAATTAAAGAAAAAAATCAAAAAGAATAATTAATTTATTATTTTTAATTATCATAATTTAGTCATTTTTATATTTACTAATTTTTGTTGTTTAGTAATTCCTCTTTTTTAATAAATATAAATATTTATACAGTCGTGGAAAAAAGTATGGAAGCGCTAGAAAATTTTTTCTTAATTCTTAATTTTTCATTCAAAAAATACGTTCTATATACCAATCGAAAGCTCTATTCGTATCTCAGTTGACATGTTTCTGCATTTTTCATAAAAATGAAAATTGGCCGAGATAATCCGGATCTACCGGATATACCAAATCCCACTTTTTCGGAAAAATTTTTCGGAATAAATTTAACAAACCCAAATGATAAAGCATATTTTTCTGAGTATTTTCCACAAAACCGCTTAGAAATATCTTTTTTCGGAGCAGAGATATGATTTTTTGAAAATTGCATTTTTCGCTTAAAAATTGAATTTTTTGCAAAAATAGACGAAAAATGCAATTTTCAAAAAATCATATCTCTGCTCCGAAAAAAGATATTTCTAAGCGGTTTTGTGGAAAATACTCAGAAAAATATGCTTTATCATTTGGGTTTGTTAAATTTATTCCGAAAAATTTTTCCGAAAAAGTGGGATTTGGTATATCCGGTAGATCCGGATTATCTCGGCCAATTTTCATTTTTATGAAAAATGCAGAAACATGTCAACTGAGATACGAATAGAGCTTTCGATTGGTATATAGAACATATTTTTTGAATGAAAAATTAAGAATTAAGAAAAAATTTTCTAGCGCTTCCATACTTTTTTCCACGACTGTATATTTTGTACAAAAAAACACTAAAATTATGAAACATAAAATTATTAATTAATAATGGACAATAACAAATTAACTTTAAAAAAAAAAAAGAAATTAAAAATAAAAATTAATTAAACTGTAAATAATTAAAAATATTAATTTAAGAAATATTAAAAACCAAAAAAATTAAATAATTTTTAAAAGTTTTGCTAAAGGGGATTTAGGTATGTTTATTTTATTTTTTATTAACAAATATAAATTGAATAATTCTCTCCTTTTTTTTAGTCAAACGCGGGGAAAGCCGTCTGGAAGGACAAACAACACACAAAATAAATATAAATAAATACAAAAACAAATTATTGACCAACCAACCAAAAAAAATAAAATAAATTAACTAACTCATTTATTTATTAAATATTCGCTCAACAAATCTCTCCTCTCTCATTTTTTCTTTTCGGTCACACACAAAAATGATCGAAAAAGTAATCTTTTAGTAATTGAACGAATAAATGAATATTAGCGGTAAAAAAAAGTAATAATTAACAAATAATTTATAAAAAAAATTCAATAAAAATATTTAAATTATTAAAAATATTCCCGATAAAAAACGAGGAAGGAAATTATTTTAATTGTAAGATCATTATTTAATATTCTTTATTGGGTGCAACATTATGGACACTTAATTAGTTTCTAGAATAACTTTTTCCAATCTTGCCAGAAATTAATAATTCTTTTTTTTTTGTTATTATTGATATCAAAATAGAATTTTGTAATTTTTCGAGCAAAATTTTTTGACTAAAATTTTGTTTAGTATTTACAATGAGACAATAAAAAATATTTTTAATTTATTGTTAGGAATTAGTTTATTGTTTAAATAAAAACAATTTTCGATACAAAAATAAATATACAATAGAAAAAAGAAATAATTGAATTTTTAATTATTTTTAGGAAAAAAATAAAATTCTCTCTCGTTTTTAAATTTGATGTGAATTTTGATAGGAAAAATTTCTTGAAAACGAGGACGGGAAAGTGAAGGACACAGAAAGCCCCAAAAACACAATGACAGGTAGTATAGTAATAAAATACATTTTTTGGTGTACGTGGGCTAGTTTAGGGAATTTTTGGGTGTAATGTAAAGAGAAAATAAATAAGTAGAGGGAAAAAAGAAAAGGTTGATGAGGAAAATAGTGGAACCTTTTTTTGCATTTATTACATAAAAATAAATAAATGTGTATTGATTATTTGCTTTGACTTTTGAGTGCTTAAACAATGAAATTAAAAGGTAAAATTATTAAAAATAAATTTAAATTTAATATGTAATTAAAGACAAAAGGAGATCTTAATTTAATTTTTATTAAATGAATTATAACTAAAATAACAAGGAGAATATTTATTACATTAAAAATGCCGTTCAAGTTTTGATTAATAATTTTTTAAATTAAAATATATTTTTAAATTTTATTTAAAATGTCGCTCAATACTTTGATTCTTCTCCCTCATTTCTATAAAATATTTACAAATTCAATTTTCGCCTCAACTCTCCCTCCCTACACATTTGAATTGAGAGGTAGATGGATGCGCATGCGCAGCAATTAAGAAATCTATATCGAATGTAGAATCTACAGTCTGAGAGGAAAATAATAAATTTTGTTTGGTTGAAATTGGAAATTTTTGATTTTAAAATAAATATAAAAACTATTTCCAAGAAGGAAGTAAAATATTTTAATAAAGGAAAAAATACCTATATATAAAAATATACCCCCCTAAATATACTACCCAATTATTATCAGCTAGATTATGCAGGTTTTACAATCCAATAATCTAAAAAACAAATAATTGTTAGAAGATAAAAATAAAATTGTCAATCAATTTTTAATTTATTTTATTTAAAAATTCCGATTAGAAAAAATAATAATAAATTGCTTTTTTAAAAATACTGGTTGAATTGTGGATTATCTACTACTATATAGTATTTATATTAACGATTTTATTGTCATCAATTGCTTGCAAAATGACTGGAAATTACTTTTGGATTAGGGAAGAATAAAAAATATTTTTTTGTATTTTATATGTATGAAAAGAGATTTAAAGTTTGAAAAAGGGGGTCCTTAAAAATTAGTTAAAAAATATTTTATTTAAAATTTTAGATAATTAATTTAAATAAAAATCAATTATTGAATAATGCAACGTGTAAAAAAGGGTAAATAAATAAATATCTGTTGTATTTTTTAACTTTAATTTTTAAAATAATTGAGTATTGTAAATTATATATATTAATATTTCTAATTTTATAAAAATAAAATTAACATAGACAAACAACAAATAAATGCTTTGAAAGAATTTACTTAAAAATCTATATATCCTTTCTTTTATTTACTCTTACATATTTAGAAAAAGGCGTTTGTCCAGCCGGTTCCCATTTACTCGTTTTTAGCTTTTATCTGCCAATCGGTTTATAACTATTTTTAATTTAATTTTAATATTCTTAGAAAATAAAAACTTTTTTTATTAAAAATTTATTTAAGGAAAAGTTTAATCTATATTTGTCTTTTAAAAAGGAAATTATTTTTTGTATTTATTTAATCTTTATTTCTATTTCAATTATATCCTCTTTCTATATTATTATGATAACATTTGATTTGCCAAATATATTTTTGACCTGCGGTTTTGCTCAGCTAACATCTTAAAATTAAAAAGAATTTCCTACAAAAAAGTCTTCAAACAAAGAATATCCGAGAAATACTTAAATGGTTTGTCCCTAGATTTGAGCTTTGGATCTTCGGATATAAGTAACCATCAAATAAACTTTTATAGAAAGTCAATATTAATTACCTTTTCATCTATAAAAATTACAGGCATTACATGTTCTATAATATATTTAGGTATATGTATTAAGTATTTATTATTAATTTAATAACAAACCAAAAAGAACAACAATTCCAATTACACTAAAAATAATAAAAGACAATCTTTTAAAATTATTAAATATTCTTTAAAATTTTCAAAAATTCCTTTTTAAGTTCCAAATATTTAAAATAACGAAAGAAATACCCAATAATGTAGAGAATTGTAAAAATAATAAGTTCTCGGCCTTTAAGTGTATGAACCAATTCCGGTTTATTGAATGGATCTCGGTGAAAGGCTACACTTTCTGCAAAAGCGGAGGAGACACGCTTAAGTGCCATTCGAAGCATTTTTTAAATTTTTATTTTAAATTTAAAAATCAATTTTTTAGAAAATAATTTTAAAAAATGGACGTTTAAATGTTAAATGCTTTTTTTTTTGATAAATTACTCTAAAATATTAAATACCTTTAGATCGTCTAGGCAACTTCACTGGTGGTTTATGGTGCTGTGAAAATTCTTTTTCCTCCTCGATTTCACCGATTCCATAGCAGCCATTATTATTACCCAAATTATTATTCATAATTTTTTATTAATTTATTTGTATTTTTTATTAAAAAATTTATTTTTTAATTGTGACAGATTTAATTAAGAATAAAAAACTAATAAATTTAAAAATAAATGTTTTAATTTTTAATAAAACTTAAGTTTTCTCAAATAACAATTTAAATTAATTAAATTAAATGTTGGGATTGTTTGTAAATAAAGAATATTTATTTTTAAAATTTAAATTATTTTTAGTTAGAAAAATATAGTAAATGTTTATTTTGTTATAGTAATAGTAATTATTTTCTCAATCTAATTCTCAAGTTTCTCAATAAAAAACAAACGACCAAGCTAAATCTTAAGTAGAAAGCAAACAAAATAAAATGAAAATTAAAAATAATTTATAAATTTTTCAGTAATAATATAAAGAAGATTCAAAATAGATTTAGTTAAATTAAAAATAAAAAATTTTAATTTATTATCAAATTCTTTTTTTTTGCCTTTTTATCTTTTGGAATCATGTAATTGAAGTCATTAAATTATTTTTATTCGAGCATAGGGAATTATGTAATATTTACAAAAAAAGTTTAAAAAAAATAAAAAAATAAGAAATATACATAAATATTAAAGTTTAATTTGTATAAAATAAAATTCTAGGTTTTAAAAATTAATAGAGAATTTAATTTTGTTAGGTTGGTTGAATAAAATTGAAAAATTCAGCCGACCCCAGTTTTAGGTTGCAAAAAAAGTCCCGTCATTAATATTTTACATATTACAAGTATGATAATTAAAAATGTCAGATCTCATAAATTTAAATGAGAGAGATTAAAATTTTAAAACGATCGAAGACTTTTTCTAGTTCTACCCAACTGTAATCCTTCTGAACTTCCACCATTTGTTGTAGGTGATGGAGGAATTCTTTCAACAGATTCCATTGCTGGTGATCCAATAAATAACTTTAAATAAAAATATTTATTTAATATTTATTTATTTTACCAAATAGCCAATAGTTTTGCCAGTTAAAGCAGCCAAAATTAAGGGAATATTAAAAGTTCCAGAAGGAACAAGTACAAAAGCAAAAATAAAAAGGCCCCATTGACAGGCATAAAGAAAAGCTTGAATCATTCTATTCCGTGTAAATGTTCTTCTAAAAATATTTTTTAATTCGCTTTTAATTGTTAAATTTTCTTCAATTATATTTTCTTCATTAATATTTTGCTCATTAATATATCTGTGGGTACTTGTTGAAGGAATTCTTTCATTTATTCTAATTGTAGAAATAGATTGTTTTTGTTGTTGTTTTTGAGAATTTAAAAGTGTTTGCTCTCTTTCTAAAATAAAACGAAGACCGAGAACTGCCTCGTGTAAAATAGCTACTAAACTAACTACTAACATTGAAGCTGCCAAACCTTTTTTTTAAATTTAAATTTGAATATTTTTAAGAGATTTAAATGATTTTTTTGTTAAAAATTGGAAAAAGTCCATACAAAATTTTTTATAAGTAGGTAATCTAAATACCCCCACTCTACGTGGTCAATCAAATTTTTGAAAAAGTACACTCAAGTGTACATCTGGGTATCTGAAGTGTTGGGGACATTCCCAAACTTAATTATTAATAAACCCAACATAAATTGGAATTGAATTTGTTTTAAAAACATGTTAGTTTATAAATTAAATTATTTCCAATTTAATTACCAAGTCCACTCCCCATTTTCCAAAAATAAAAAACAACATATTCGTGTTCCCCAAAATGAAGAACAGAATTTTCGTAGTCGTATTTCCAAGGACCAGAATCGGGCATAGCGTCACTAATTGATGGAGGAGAAATTAAAAATCGAACAAATTCTTTTGGCCACCGTTTAAGCCATGCAATTAAAGAAGAGTTTGTTGCTGTAATTATTGTTGTGGAATTATTTAAATTAGTATTTAAAACTGTGGTGAGCATGAAAAAATAATTGTTGTTGAAGAATTGAAAAAGAAGAAGTAAGGTAATTTTTGGAACATAGAAATTAAATTTTAATTTTTATTTAATTTTTAGTTTTTAGCCTTTTTGTTTAGTTGTTTTATGTTGGCATTAAATAAATAAAATATTTTTTTACGTTTTATGATGATTTCCACGAAGAATTAAATGAATGTTCTCGACAGGCTGTAAATAAAGAAAAAAATTTAAAAAATAATGAAGTAAAGAGAAAGAAAGAAAAATGACAAATGGTGGAAAAATATTTTTAATTAACCAAAAATTGATTTATCAAAATTTTTAATAAAAATTTTAAAATTTTAAAAGAAGAAAAACTATTAATTATTCCAAAAGAATTTTAATTTGATGATAAGAAGGAAAATGGAGATAATTAGAGTTGTTGGTTCAAAACCGAATAAAAGAACCGAGAATTTTTCAGTTTGATTCTTTGGCTCAGTTCTCAACGAAAATCTTCAAAGAATCAACAACCCTAGGGGTAAAGTGACAGCCATAAGAGAGAGATGAGATGTATACTAAATTTTAGGTCTATAAAAGAATGTAGTTATTTACTCAACAAAATATAAAAACATCTCATTGCTTTTCCACCAAAATTTAATTTTCAGCCAGTAAATTACATAAAGATGCTATTCCTTTTACTAAACATAAATTTTGGTAAAAAATATATGTATGTAAACTATTCACCAAAGTGAATTTGTTTTGACAGCCGTTGACAGCCGAGAGAGTGAGAGGAAGGGAGAAAAAAATAATTGATCGAATTTTGGAAAAAATAGTTCTTAGAGAAAGAGAAAATGTTTCGTTAGAGATATAATATTGACAGATATGTATAATCAAAAAAAATCGGAAAAGATAAAAGGTGTTTAATTTTTAAATATTTAAATTTAAAATTTTTTAAAAGTCCTTTCTCTCTCATGTATTTTTATTAAAACTAATTAGCCTACCAATAATTTTTAAATAACATTAAACAATTCTTTGATATATTTTCCAAGTTTCCATACTCTATAAATTAACAAAATATTTAAAAAAGAAAACGGAAAATAACGAGTAATTGAAGTGCATTATTTGCTTGAATATTATCACTCGAAATGTGTGTCATTTCCTTTAACAAATATTTTTATAATTAAAAAAAAACAAAAATATTTTACGGTAATAGCAGAACACAAAATAAGTATATGTCCAGCACGTACAGATGCCTGAATACTTGCTTCGTTTGAAGTTGTTGTTGGTGAAGATTCATTAGAAATTATTTTACAAAAAATATTGTTATATAAAAGGGAGAAATAGTGTTGCTTTAGAAGAGAAAACTTTTGTTTACTTTTTTCTGATAAATCAGGGATTGCTTTAAAAAATTAATTTATTTTTATTTTAAATTTAATTAAACAAACTTGAAGATATTATAACAATAATATAAAATAAACTAATTTCAATTTCATTTAATTGTAATTTACTTAAAGGTTCAACTAAAACTGTAAACATTTTCTCTACACATTTACTTTCAACTAAAATACATTGAAGGGAAGGTTCGCGCGGAAAATATGCTGAAAAATAAAAGAGGGAATTATTTAAGTGATGAGTCATAAAAGATAAAATTACAAACATCCATTACAATAACATATTCCTTTGTCAATTCCAGTTTCTAATGTCCACAGTGCACATAATGCCCAATGAAACGCCGGAAATCTTGCTTTTGTTATAATAATCTAAAAATAAATTTTTATTTAATGCTAAGTATATAAAAGTCTGTTTTCATTATTAGCTACTTTTAATTATTTACATCAATCGTGATAAAAATATTAACAATGAGTTTAACCTTATATTGTAAAATTAAATGACTTAAAGAGGAAAGGACAAGGAGTAAGTTACTTTATACTTTACATTGAAGGGAATGTTAGCGGAATGAGTCTCTTTAACTTTATAAGTGAATATTATTTTTGTTTAGAATTCAAAACTCTTAAAATTAAATATTAATAATTTACTTGATCTTCTATTGGAAATTTATCAATTTCTGGTAAAGCTTTGAGGAAATCAATAAATAAAACAAAACATCTGTTCCAATCCTAGAAAATATTTTAAATAATATTAATTTAAAAATCTCCAAACATTTGCAGCATCTGTAGCCGTAGCTATTCTATTTGCTGATAAATCTATCTTTAAATTTATTCTTAAAATTTAATTAAAAAATTTTTTTGATTGCCTTAGTTCGGGAACAAAGAATTGTTGGATTATTGAATAAATAAATAAATTCTGTATTTGTTGATATATTTGAATTCTGAATTTGTTGACTAAATAAATAGGTATTTTTTAAATTTAAATTTAATTTAAATTAAAAACTTCAATTCAATATCGTCTACTCGATTAAATAAACATTTTTGTATTTCTACAAGTTCTTTTACTTTTTGTTCTTTAAATTGGCAATCCATGTCAAATATTAATGGTAATGTATTTGTCTAGTGAATATTTTAATTTAAAAAAATAATTTACTAAATATTTATTTATTATTTGCCAAAATTTATTAAGGAAGAATTTTTATATAAATTTGAAAGAAAATATTTAGTAATAAAATTAAGTATTATAATTTTTATTTTTTCTTTCTCCTAAGGTGATACATATTTTAGAAGGAAGATTATTTTAAATATGTATTGCAGATTTGTACTAAATAAAATTATTTCCTTTTTTAGTATAAAAATAATTAAATATCACAATTATAAATACCATCTTGTTTAATCCCCCACTAGTTGATGGTTTTTCGCTTAGTTGTTGTTCTAACAAATTATTTTTACATAAATTAAATATTGAAAAATTATCATTTTTTAAAGAAGATACTGGATGTGAAACTAGTGAAGTAAATATTTGGTGTTGAAATTGTGTTGTTGTTGGGCCAAATTCGGAAAAACGAAATGAAGGGTTGTCGAGAAGGAATGAACGTCTAAAAATTTAAATGCTTATTTTTAATTTAAAAAAGTTAAAGGAGAGAAATTAAAAAACTCTTTTCGTTTAAAGAATAATTATTACAAACTCAGTTTGTGTTTCTATTGAACTGGAACTTTTAACACAAGATATAATCGCTCTTTTAGTAGAAATACAAGAAGAAACAATTCTAATTTCATTATTTTCAGTCTGTGAAGGTGGCAGAACACGTTCACTTTGAATTGCTAAAAAAATTAATAAATTATCTAAAAAAATCAAAAACCCCTTGGATTCATTCCAACAGCTAAACATTTATTTAATCGACAAAATCTGCAAGAATTTCTTTGCTCTTTTAATATAACAAAATATTTAATAATTTTTAAAAGAATATTTTAAACCTTTAAATAATTTACATTCATTATTATTTCGGCATTTATAACGTTTTTGACTCCAAATACTTCGACGGAAAAATCCCTTTCAACAAATTTTATTAAATTAAATAAACAAAAACAAACTTTGCATCCATTACTATAAAATAAAATATTTAAAAAATAATAATTTAAAAAATTATATGTTAAATCAAACCAAGCGTTCACACCGTAATGTTTTCCAAAAGCCTGAAAAGTTTTTAATAAACTAAAATTAATATACTAGGTTGTTTGTTATCGCTTGTTTTTTGAGTGATAACTATTTTTATCCGAATTTGTTTTTATCTTATTTTGTAGCCCAAAGTCTTAGCTTCACAATAATACAAAAATTTTAAAAAATAGAAAAGGCCAAAAAATTTTATACTTCAGGAAATGAGCGTTGGTAGAAAGAATATTTAAATTTACACTGCCGATTAAGGCTAATTAATATTTGTCGGGAATTATGTAGCTACAGTCGTTGCTTATTTTACTCACAACTTATCTCTTTTGAATTAGGTATGTATAAATCAAAAAAAAAGGGGGGAGGGAGAGAAGATAACCGACAAATATGTATAACTTATTTTTATTAAAATAATTATTAAATATTAACTGTATCTCCACATACTGCACATAATGTAGTAACTAGAGATGAAGATGTTGAAGGACCTGACAAAGGTGCTGATGCCATCAAGAATAATTTTAAAATTTAAATTAATATTTTTATAACTTTTAAGTTTTCTTTAAGTTTAAACTAAAAACTTTATTAAAAAACATTCTCTATTTATAATCTTTATTTCAATAATTGGTCGCTAAGTAACCTGTTAAGAAATAAAAAGTTAAAAATAGAATCAGATTAAAGGCTATAAATAAATTAGTAATTAATTAATGTCCATTAAAATATCAAAATTTTATTTTTTTGTATATTTAATTTGGAAATCTTGAAGTGTGAAATAATTTAAGCAGAAGTATAAAATTTTTAAACAGATTTATGGTAATTAGGCAATAAAATGAAAGATTTAGGTTAAAATAAAAAATTAAAACATTTTTTTTATTAAATTATATTTATTTCTAGAAATTAAATAAATAATTAATTTTTTTTAAATAAAAATAATTTTCTGTAATACTTAGTTTTAGGCTTAATTTAATTAAATTTAATGTAAGAAATTTAATTTTAATAAATATTTAATTATTATTTTTTCCGTATTTTAGTGCACATTTGATAATAAAATCAGCCAAAAAGTTCATCAGTTATTTACTTTGTAAATCTTACTGTAAAAAACTTCAAAAAGGCGTTGAGCAACTAAAAAATAAAAATTTGGAAATGAAACGTCCTTCTGTGAGTCATTTTTAATTTTAGGTTTTTTATTTCAATTTTTATAATTTTTAAAGATTTTAATTAATTTAATGATTATGTGTTAAATAATGGAAGCAGAATTATTTCAAGAAATTACTGATGCTCTTAGAGTAAATTTTTATAAATATTTCTTTACAAATTAATTTTTATTTAATTTTTAGGAGAAGTCAAATCACATTTTTTTGCCTGTAGAGAATGTCTGTCCTATACAAAAAATTGTTTGGTCTTCATTTGATTATATGGCTGGACCTGAATTAAAATTTTGTTGGGAAGCTGATTATTCAATTAAAAATGGAAATAATTCAACAATTAATAATTCTGAAGGAATTGAATTGGATAATGAAATTGAGACTGGAGATGGATGTGTAAGTACAAGTGATTCTTCTTATACAAAAGTATTTTTTATATTTTTTAGAAAATTTTTTTAAATAAAAATTTTAGAATACAATTAGTTCAAATAGTGCACAATTTGAAGATATTGATGCTTACAATGTGAATTTTTTAGAGAAAAAATTTAAAATAAGAATTTATTTTTAGAGTGAATCTTTTCAACTTGCCTCTTTAAAATTTGGAAGAAATGGGGATTCTATTAACGATTTTGATAGTAAATTTGAAATTTCGAGAACACAATCCTCTACAATGGTGGAGTCTACAGATTCCTTTTCTCATATTCAAAGTACAAGTGAACAATTAACTCCACAAAAAGAGGTTTTGTTTTATTTTTTATTTAGTTTTCAACTCCAGAATTTGACTATAAATTTGAAAAAATTCGCTGACTTTTTTTCTTTTTAGAAACTAGCATCACCTACGAAAATTTCAAAATCACCAACAATTAATTCAATTAATAAAACCCAAAAAAGAAATGACCAACAACAGCCTTCTTTCTCCTCTCCCTCTCCAGCAATGGTAACCTCTTGTGTAGATTCTGGAATAGCTCCAACAATTTCAACAGAAAGTAATTTGAGCGCCTTTCTTTTACAAGAACCTAAAGGTTTTGACTTTTTAAATTAAAGGAAATAATAAATATTTATTTTAGAAAATGTTATCTATAAAGCAGATAATCAATCTTGTGATATTCAATTACAAAAAGGAGAATTACTTTTGGATGCAAAAATAAATGGGGCACAAGAAGTTATTGAATTTGATGCTGATAATTATTCTGAAACTTCTGTTGTTGAAGATATGTATGTCTTTTTGTTAAATTTAATTTTTAAATATTTAAATAATGTTTCTGAATTCTGCTGTTTCTTAAAAGGATGCAGAATTTTGGAAGTAAGAAATGATTGACCGTTTCTTACATCAAGCAAAAAGCAGACTGGGGGTCGGAAATCGGCATAAGTACCGAATTTTTAACCGTTCTTTTCTAATTTTTTACCAATTTTTAAAATTTTTTAAATGTCTTTTTTATTTTAGCCCCCCTGTTCGTACAGAAATACAAAATAATTTATTTATTACGAGCCAAATTGGTTCTTCCTTCTTTTCCTCTACCTATTCCAATCCTGTAAATACTTGCTCGTCTTTAAATGACAAAAATTCAAAAATCAACGAATTTTTCCAAAAAGAAGCTGAATTTTTTAATGCTGAAATGACACCGAATGAATCTAGCGGTTATTGGATGGCCATTCCTGATGAAGCTTTTGTAGCTAAACATGTACTTGCTGAACAAATTGCCAGGTTTTTTTTGTAAATTATATTTTTTGTTAAAAATTTTATTTAAAGTGTTCAATTATCCTCAAATCCTGTTTTACATAAATTTTGTATTGTTGCGGCAAGACATATTTCTTTTGGTTCTTATATATTTGCAACTCGAACAGAAAATCAAAGATTTTGTGCCTCACCCAATCTTGCAGCTTTTACAGTTATTTTACCTATTGAAAAGTTTTTTTTATTTTTTAAATTCTTTTTTCTAATTTTAAAATTTTCTAGAGTTGATTGGTATTTGCAACGCCAACCATTTTTTCAAGAAATTTTTGAAGATATTATTGCTCGTTTTATGTTATTTTTTAATTGAAAGCATTTCTTTAAATAAAAATTTAGGCCCGCTCATACAGTTGAATTATTGGATGATTTAGTATGTCGATGTACTCGGGAATTTTCAACTTTTCTCACAACAATTAGTTTGGAATAATTTTAATTTTTCTTTTAAATTTTAAAATTAGGTGCTCTTGAACGATGGCCTCTTTCTCTTCATTCAAACATTTCTCAACTTCGAATTCAACAAAGCCATTTATGGGAATTAAATTTTGAAAGAATAAACGAAAAGAGTTTTATTGCTCGGTGTATCACAGCAACATTAATTTGTAGAGGTCGTTGTGCTATTGTTGGAAGTAATTCTAAAGAAGTTTTTAAATTATTAATGACTCTTTGTGCCTTTACAAAATCTCAAGATCGGCTTTATAGTCTTCGGCCTTACAAACTGCCTTACTCTCCTTATATTCGTTTACAAGCAATTAAAAGAGTAAGAGAGGAGATTTTTAAATGTTTTACAATTTTTTTAAATTTTTTAGCCAGAAATTTATCAATTCTTTGAACAAGCTGCTAATGCTCATTGGCCATGTTCGTTACTTGATATTGATCGTGGTTCAGTAATATATACGGGACTTTATCAAAAACATCGAATTCAAAAACGGGCAGAACAACATTTTCAAATATTTTATGTTATCCGCGAAGCAATGGATTGTGGATTGGATATTCCAAATAATGTCTTGAATGATTTAAATCAAAAATTTTTGAATGGCGGAGGAGAATTTATTAAAAATACATTGTTTGTTCTAGTTAAATTTAAAAATATTTAATACAATTTAGGGAAACCCAAATCGTCAAAGCAGAGCGAAGCGTTGTTGAATTTTTGGAACAAATCTGTTTAATGCCTTTAAATCGAGCAGCAAGAATTTCCTTCATTGATCATTTCCATTTGCGTCTAGAGAATCGTGCCAAATCACTTATTACATACATTCGAGACATTTCAAAACCTTCGCCTGAAGATAAGTGGGGAGCGCTTAGTGGTAGGTGGTCTTGCAAAACTGTTAGACGAAACTTAAATCTTTTACACGATTCTACTTTTGGTATTGTTTTGGCTGAAGCAGAAAGATTACAACCTGAAATTTCTGAGTTTATTGTACAACAAACGAAAATAGCTGAGTACCCAATGAATAAAGAATGAATTCTTATTTTTTTAAGTATTTCCAAAATTATTTTTAGGGGGGGGGGGCATCTTTAGTTTTTAAACTCCCTTTCTTATCTCGATCTTTTAGACTGCTTTTCACGTATATGGTTTGTTAATTTAACCTTCTTTCTATTTTCCATGTCCCTCAAGTCGTATCCTTAAAATCCTCGGATGACTTGTAAACTTGTTAAAAGTCAAAATATTTATATTTCATAGACAAATCCTAAAAAGCGACAAATTTAAATCATTTATGAAAACTTAAATATATCAGCGTAGCCAGATTACAAGTCATCCATAAAGATAAGTTAATCCGATTGAGGTTGTTTATAATTTATTAGCAAACCGTATATTGCTTATCGTTTAATTTGACGTTTTTATAACCTTAAATATTTTACTGTACACCTAATAACTAGGCCTGGCGGAAATATGCAAATGTATATTGTGGCTAGTGCATATTTGGGCAGATTTTCTGTGTATATTTTAAGCACTAAATTCTTTAATTTTGCTTGTATATTTCCGCCTACTTTCACTTATTTTCCATTAAAAGCAAATATCCTTGTATATAATATGTATATATTTAAAAAATTTTTGGTGATATATTCAACTCTAATTGTTTTTGAATTCTTTTGCCTTTTTGCTTTAGTTTTTTAATTCCTTTAATTAATGCATAAATCTAAGATTTACTAATTTCGGTATTTTTTTATAATCTAAAATTTGAACTGATGATATAGTTGTAGTTCTTTTAACGTTAGAGATATTTTTGTGGGTTTCTGTCAATATACCAATTTATCTACTGCAATCAATCTTCCCTCTGATCATTTAAAATAAAAACAGTTGGCTATTTGAGGACCACAAGTCTGCATGCATGTTTTTAGTAATCTTAATCATTCTTCACGTGTGTTCACGGGAGAATTGGAATTTATTTTGTATTGAATATTCCTTCATTTTATAGTTTAAAAAGTATTTTTATTTTCACCTATGCAATATTTAACTATTACTTTATCAAATATTTTTATATCCTGTTTATTATTTTTTCAAAATGAATGCCGTTATCCGGTCAGTGTTATTATATCCTTTGTGAAACTTGTATTGTTTTTTAGTGCCTAAATGATGGAGAACCAATTTTGCTTGGACAAAATAGCAATGAATTTCGTTGTGAATGCTTGACGGGATTCTTTGGGCCTTTTTGCGAGTATCAGGATACAAGTCAATCCATTAAAGAAAAACCGCCAATTCCTGTAAGATACAGAAATTATGACACAATTATTTCTTGTTCGATTAGTAAAAACCTTTTTTAGACTTCAACCTCACTATTCTCTCATTCAGCCACCAATAATCTTGCATCAATTACTGCAGGCCAGCAACGTGGATGGGAAACTACTTTTGTCAATTTACTTATTTGTGTATTTTTCTTGTTGTTATTGCCTTCATTAGTAAAACAATTTAATAATTTATACAAATATTTTTTTTTATTATTTTTGGTCATTTATGCAATTCGGGTACTTTACTTGTTACTTAAACGATGTCACACCTACTATAATATTCATCACCAAACAACAACAGCTACTACTACAAACACAAATTGTAATGGAATTTTAATTCAACAAAATGTAAAGAAAATTTTTATAAAAAATTCTCTTAATCTACCATAATTTTTTAATAGAATCAACAACGTCCAACACCTCCACCCCATTATTGGGCAGCAATGGGTGTTGGAGATGAATTAAGGCAACAAAATAATGATATTAATGGTCATCATCAACAACAACGTTCACTTACTTGGCTTTTGCCTTTAACAGAGAGTGGTGGGGAATATAGAAGACATTTACCTCCATTAAATAATCAACAACAACAACAAAGAATGCGTAGAAGACGAAGATCTGTTTCGGTAAAATAATATATTCTATCGCTTAATTATTATTGTTTAGCCTATTACTGAAGTAACAGTTCAATTACCAACATCTATTTGTAGAGGGTTTGTTTTAAAAATTATTTTACAAAGAATTTTCCTTTTTAGACGTCCAATTCATTCCTCTCGATCAGTTGGTGGCCCTATACCTTTGCACCAATCCCAATCATTAACCCTCGCAGAATTTCATGAACTCTTGCTTAGGATTCAGCAAGAAATGCAAACACGTCAACATTTAGAAGGATTAGAACAACAACGGCAACAACAACAACTTAACACTTCAACAAATTGGGGTTTTAAAAATAATTTTATTTAAATATAGTTTTATCATTTACAGAGACAGAACAACAATCATCAGCAAATCAACAAAATTATCATAACGAACTACCGAATAATTGTCTTTCTACTACTTATCCAATTGAACCTCCACCTAGCTATAATGAACTAACAAACCAACAATAACAACAAAAACGTTAATAATAAATTGTAAATAAATAAACTTCAATTTTTTAATTAAATTTTTTTAATTCTAATTTAAGGAAAAGTTTTGAAAAAAAAAGAAATTATGGGCTCAGACTTATGAATCCCCTCATCGCCTTGGCTAGAGTGGAAACCGCGAACGTTTCTATCATTTTCATCACTGCCCAAACTAAATTCAACAGAGCAACAAAAGAGAGCCAACAATTTAGCCACTTAACCAGAGACGCAATCATCCAAAAAGCAATCATTTTCTATGTACATAAACTAAGAAAACATAGTAGTAGAATTTATTTTATTAAATTTATGTATTTATTCATAATGAAGGCTTCAAAATCTTATTTTTCAAAAGAAACTTTTTAAAAAATAATCAGTGTATGAAAATATGATAAACTTTATTTTCTCTCCTTTTTTCTGATTTTTATTATCTTCACCGTCCAAGCCAGGCATTTTTTAAAAGAGAATTTAATTCACTTTCACTAACTTCTCGTTTGCTTGTATCAATAGGCCCCAAAATTGGATATTGTTCATTAACCTCTTTTAGCTCTTCAATTAGAGGAACCCATCGTCTTTGAATAGAACGCTAAAAAATAAATTTAACTTAAATAACCAAATTAAAGAAATACTTTATTTACTAGTTCAGCTTTAATTTCTCCATTGTTGTTTTCCATATTTATATTCCTCTTAATTTTAAAGCTCATTTCATTGGAAACATTTACAATAAACAATAGTAAAAAGCAAATAAATATAATTGAATAACTGTAGCGATGAATATTTTTACTTGAGGGAATCCGTAAAGAATTTGTATAAAATCTATTGTTGGTCATTTTTTGTAGACTTACAACTGGTAGAAGTAAAAATAATTTTGGATAACTAAAAAATAATGTCAAAAAAGTAAATTTTTTATAAAATAAAGGTAGGAAATGCTAAAATATCGAAACTCGGAAGCGCTTCAAATTTGGAAAATTGGAAGAGAATCACCGGAAACCGATCCGACTGACCACTGCTAAACAGTGAAATTAACTTAAAACTAAAAAGTATTAAAATATCTTTTACAATTTCATAATTTAAAATAATTCTATTAAGTTTAAGCTACATGAGGAATAGTAAATATAGCAGTTTATATAAATGCAAGCAAATTATCTTTGATTCTATTTTCCAAACAATCCTTTTAAGCCAGTAAATAAAGTTCATTCGACCGTGATTTTTGCTTCCGTTTTGATGTTAGAAAAAGATACTTTTTAAACAAAAAAATTTATTTTCAATTCTTTTTTATTTAAAAATAGAATTTTAAAAAAATAACCCAAAAAAGAAACAAAATTAATAATTTGAAAAAAAATTAAATAAAATTCAAAAAGAGGTTAGGGAAGGAAGGGTTACACCTTCCTTCTCTCTCCATATATAGCTGAGGATGTTTATGTAGATGGAGATATGGCACCAATTAAATACTCGCACGAATGCGCACGACATTTATTTTAATCTTTTCTTAGTCATGACGGCAATCCCTAGAGAATATAAACAAGAGGAGGAGGAGGAGGGAAAGGTTTGCGCTATTTTGTTGTTAAAGAAATATTTCGATGAAAAATTGAAAAAAAAAACTTATTTTGCCAAAAATTTGTGATTAATGAGGAAAAGACATGACAAAAATCTGATATATTTTATGTCCCCTAATAAAGATTAATTAATTTTTCTTTTTATTGGTTAATAATGATGTATGTTGCTTTAAGGAATTTTTTAATAAAAAATCAAAATAATATAAAACTATTTAATTTTCTTAATGATATATAAGTGAATATTTTGAGAAAATTGTAAAAATATATTTCTAAATTTATTACTATATTTATTCAGTGTCAAGCATAATTACTTCTTTGTTGGAATTTTGTTCACTACCAATATTAACATAAACAGATTTAAGTTGTGTAAATGAATGAAGACATTCAACACAATTTTCACGTCCATAACCAGAATTTTTATAACCACCGAATGGAATATGGACCTAAATTAAATTTTAAAAAATTATTTAAAAATATTTAAAATACCTCTGTATCATTATAAGTATTTACATAAATTGTTCCAGCTTGAAGTTCAGCAGCTACACGATGGGCTCTCGAAAGACTTCTATAATAATTTTAAAAAATTAAAATTCTTTAAAATATTGGAAGTTTAAATGTCAAAAAAATTAAATTTAATTCCAAAATGATGTCCTTGTATTTATTAATTTTTAAAAGATTAATTGTCTCACTTTGTACAAATTCCAGCAGCCAATCCATAATGACTTTCATTTGCACGTACAATAGCTTCGCACTCACTAACAAAAGGCAAAAGAAGGCAAACAGCACCAAAAACTTCTTCTCGAACAATTTCCATTTCATCATTTAAACCAGTAAGTAAAGCTGGTTTAAAATAAAAACCCTCTTCAACATTTGTTGGATGTACTCGAATTCCACCACAGAGTAATTGGGCACCCCAAAAATAATTTTTTATTTTTTAAATTAAAAATATTTAAAAAAACTTGTTGAACAGCTCGATTAACATATCCACAAACTTTTTGTAAATGTTGTTCATTTATTGTTGCCCCAACAGTTGTACGTTCATCTAACGGGTCTCCAACAATTAATTTACGCTCCATTTCCGCCAAGAGTAGATTTTGAAATTCATTAAAAATAGATTTTTGGACAAAAACACGAGTGGCGTTTGTACAGACTTCTCCTTTAAAAATAATTATTTTATCGAAAAAATAATTTTTCAAATTTAAAAATAACCCTGATTTAAAAAATTTGCCAGCATTGCAGCTTCAACAGCAGTTTTCATATCAGCATCATCAAAAATAATAAGAGCTGATTTTCCTCCAAGTTCTAATGTAACCTAAAAAATAACAAAAATAGGATTTAGGTTATGAACACAAAAAAGTCCACAACTATTTAACTGCAAGTCACAATTTTTTCTCAAAAACTTTAAACTAAAAATTTTTCAGATGATGGATATTTTTAAAATTTTCGCTTTTTTCGAACTTAATTTAAGCTGGTTCTTTTTTAATTTTTATTTATAACTCAAGGATTTTTCAAAAAAAACATTTTTGATTCAATAGACTTTAACCTTAGTGTGGATTATAATTGCGAGATTTTTGTGTATATTCTGCTTGAAAATTAAAAACTGACCGGCTTAATACGTTTCGGTTCAGCACACGCTTTTTGAATTTTCATTCCAGTTGGCAAGGAACCAGTAAAGGAAACTTTAGCAATATCTTGATTTGTACAAATTAATTCACCAGTAGCTGCTTCTCCCTTAAATAAATTCTTTTATTTTAGTTTAATAAATTATTAAAAACTTGTAAAACGTTAAAAAGACCATCTGGCAAACCAGCTGCTTTAAGTAATTCTGCCAACAAGACAGGACTCGCCGGTGCAAATGGACTTGGTTTGTATATGACAGCATTTCCAGCAGCTAAAGCCGGTGCTACTTTCCAACAACATGTCTAAATAAAATGCTGAAATATTTAGTTAAAATAATTTAAACCTGAAAAGGATAATTCCACGCTCCAATACACCCAACAACTCCAAAAGGTTCACGTCGAGTATATGCAAAACGGCCACTATTTTGGCCTTCAATCGGAAGATCAATAAAATCACCCAAAATTTTAAATATTTTTAAGTCTTTAAAGGAAATTTTCTCACCTTTCATTTGCGCAGGTAAAATTCCTCCATAAAAAGTAAAAGTATCCGCACTTGATTCAATATCCAAACGAGCCTCGATCAAAGGTTTTCCGTTCGTTTTTACTTCCCATTTTGCGATGGATTCCAAATTTGCCTTTAATTTTTAATTTAGAAAAAAATAAAAATTAAAAAATACTCGAATCAATTCAGCCGCCCGCAAAAGAATTTTTGAACGTTCAAATGGACTTTTTGCTGCCCATGCACGTTGTGCAGTTGATGCTTGTCCGATAACTAAATCAACAAGTGCAGCATCCGCGCACGGACATTGCATTAATTGTTGGCCAGTTCTGGGTTCGAAAACTGGGAATGTATTAATCCCACCAACTGTTCGGCGTTTGCCTTCGAAAAAGAAAAGTCCTCCATTTAGATTTTCTGGTATCGTAAACTCTCCTGTCATTTAGTCTTAAAACGTCGCTAACCTGAAAATTTTAAAGTTTTTTTTTTCAATTTTTTTTAAATTTTTTAATGCATTCGAAAAAAATTTCGAAGCGAAATTTTTTCATTATTTCGTCAATGCAACGTAGTTTATCGAAAGAATTGAAAATCGGCTAAACTTTAACCTCATTCGGTAAATGCCCCGTACTTTCGCGCGGAACGAAACTTTTTCCTTTCTTTCAAAATTTCGTTTTATGTTTTAACCTTTTTTCTATTTTATTTTTTTTTATTTTTAATTGTTTGTAATATTTATTTTTAGCAAAATGCGTAACAGAAATAGCAAATATGATGCATATTTTTATATTTTTGATGGAACTGCTAAATGCTTGGGTAAAGACTGTAATTATTTTTACAAATCTATTTCGTCTTCATTTCCACGTACATGTTTACGTGCACATCTTGAACGTTATCACAAAGAGTCATTCCAAAAATTAAGAGCAGATGAAGAGCAACAACAAGAAAAACCTATAACTAGACCTGTTAGAAAACGAGTGAAAAAAGAAAAAAAAGTTTTTATTTTTGCCTTTTAATATTTCTAATTTTTAAATTTAGTCATCTTCTAATTTCGACTCTACTTCTGAAAATGTTGTTAATAATGACAGGAATTGGTGCTCTCCAAATGATGAATTATTATTAATGACAGAAAAAGTGGAAGAAGATGATGATGGTTATAATTCAAAATTGGATGAAGCTATAATTAGTTTAATTTGTACGGCATCCCTTCCCCTTTCATTTATTGAAGAACCTGGACTGAAAAATCTTTTAAATATTCTTGTTCCAGAATATAAATTAAGGTAATTTAAATATTGTTAAAATATAATTTTACAAGGAAAGGTTGAGAGGTGTCCGACCTAAAAACAGATAAAAAATGGGCAAAAACGGCACAAAATCCTCGCTAGAAAGGGCATATTCTCTATCGAATGAGCCCGTTCTTGACCGTTTTTAGGTCGGACACCTCGCAGCCTTTCCTTGTTAGCATTTTTTAAATCTAAATAATTTTAATTATTTTAAAAGACCCCAACGTTTCTTTTCTTCATTTGTTTTAAATAAATTGTATTCAAGAATAAGGCAAAAAGTAAGTGATGATATTCGGACTGAATTTATGTCGTTGACTGTTAATAGTTTAAAATCAAATGATGATTCCTATACCCTTTTTGTTTTTACTGCTCATTATATTTCTGCAAGTATGACTCCCTGTTCTCGTGTTTTGGCTGTGGAGCCTGTGAAGGTTGGCTTCGAAAAATATTTTTTTAAAATAAAATTTATTTTTAGGGTGAACAAACATGTGAAAATGTCAGTGCTTTACTTAGCAATGTATTGAATGAGTACCGTGTAGATGCTTTCAAAGTTCATCTAATTTTACGAGAAGAAAGTGATGAAGATTTAAGAAAGGCGATTCGTTCGACGGGTTTTGATTCAATGCAATGTTTAACAATTAAATTAGATTTGGTAATTTTTAAAAGAAAATTTTAAAAATTATTTTTTAAGTGTATCTGGGAAGCTTTAAATATTTTTTCTGTAAATGAACTTCTTGAGAAAGTTAAAAAGGCAATAAGAAAGATACGAAAATCAAGAGCTTTAAGTGAAAATTTCCCTCCATTATGTGATGATAATTCAATTCCCTCAATTTATTTAAAAAAGGTAAGAAGGATTCAAAAATCTTTTTAAAATTATTTTTTAGGGAACAAAAATTCGTTGGAACAATGCTTTATTATTATTTGAATGTTTTTCTTCTAACGAAGAATTTTTGATTAAAATTCCTTATAGCAATAAATTATTTCCTGCTTTTTCCCCAAATGAATGGAAAAGCATGAAAAGTATTTGTGAATTACTTCGTCCAATTTACCGTGCAACGACTAGAATTGCTTCTCGACAAGCCTGCATTTCTTCTGTCATTCCATTATTTAAAGCAATTGATCGGGAATTGGGGAGATTAAATACAAATTCTCCTTTAGTTAGAGATAAATTGAAAGAAGAATTAAATATAAAATTTGGAGGTTTTTTGAAAATAAAATTAATTTTTTAAATTAAAATTAATTTTTAGATTGTGAAGAAAGTAAACATTTGTTGATTGCTACTCTATTAGACCCTGCCTACAAAAGTGCTTTCTTTAGGGAGCCTGAAAAGGCGAGAGATATTTTGTTTAGTGAAGTTGAAATGCTTGCAATTAGATCAGTTGAAGTAAAATTAGAAAAAAATTTTATTTAAATTTTAATAAAAAAGGGTGCTCCCCCAATTCATAACGGAAACAGTATGGAAGAAGATGATCCCTTTGTACGCTTTTGCCGTGATTCAGAGGCAGTCGAATTTTCTGCTTCATCATCCCCACCCTCTACAACATCACCATTAGAAAATGCAAAAGCTATGGCAGCATGGGTATAAATAAATATTTTAATTTTTTATTAAAATTTAATTTTTATAGCAAGTAAATGATTATTTAAATACTCCAAAATATGATGGGGATTCCTATTCATTTTGGGACAATCCATATTATGCCTCTAAATATATGTTTCTATTACCTCTTGTCAAAAAATACCATTCTGCCCCAAATACCACAATATTTTTTGGTGAAAACAAGCAACAACAACAACGAAATTCTTGTACAAAACTTTTATCACCAGATGTGAGAAGAAGTATAAATAATGAGACTTTAAAAGAAATGTTATTTATTCATCAAAATATTTTATTAATGGGTTTTGACTTTTAAATTTCTTTTAACTTTTCTGTATAAAATTTACATTTTTAAATTTAATAAATTTTATTTTGGGTTTTTATTTCCATTTACTATATTTAAAATGTGCAATTGTAGACACGCTTTTTTAAGTAATGGACAAGTTTATTGGAAAATCGTTAGGGGTCAGTTATTGAAACGATGAAATGTCCGATGAATTATGAACTGTCCCCCTTCCTCCCTCCCGTGCCCGCACAAAATACCGAATTCTCAAAATCGCGAATAGGCTAAAAAAGCTCAAAATCGCGAATCGGTAAAAATATCTCAAAATATGGAATCGGCCAAAAAAGCTCAAAATATGGAATCTTAAAATATCGAATCTCAAAATCGCGAATCGGCCAAAAAAGCTCAAAATACCGAATCGGCTAAAAAGTAGTTAAAAATGTCGAATTTTTTAAAAACGAAAAGGGCCGTTTGAGTGCCGCTGCAGTTCTTTTTCTGATTATTCAGGGATCTGTAACTCAGTCCAATCAGGTCGGATTTCATTGATTTTGGTATCATTCGATGCAGCTCGACGTGCTCTTTCAGATGAGCTATCATTCGGAAACTCGAAATTCGGTTCGGGATTCGAAATTCGGTTCGGGTCCGGGATTCGACTTTTTCAAAATCCGAGCTGAGATTCGTAATCAGCACATTTTTTTACCTTAGAAAAATACTTTCTCTTATTTTTAAAATTTTTTTACGAAGAAGTTGGTCACAACTTTGTTCAGACTCAACTGGCCTTTGCCGCATTGTCGATATTTTTCGATATTTTGAGCTTTTTTTGCCTATTCCATATTTTGAGATTCGATATTTTGAGATTCCATATTTTGAGCTTTTTTAGCCGATTCGCGATTTTGAGATTCCATATTTTAAGAATTCGGTATTTTGTATGGGAGCCCTCCCTCCCCTCCCCCCTCTTCCTTTCAATAATGTTTTTAGGTATTTTGTAATAAAATTTTATTAGAATTTATAATAATGAACGGAACGCCTAAGCGTTTACAATTTTTGCCACCACAAACTCGTGATAATTTTGTTTTGCGGATTATTAAAAGTTCATTTCATGCTATTTTTATTTGGATATTTAATGTCTACAATTTTACAATGTTATTTGTTAAAAAACAATACAGAAAGGTTTTTATTTAAAAATTATTTTTTAGAATTATTTTTAGGTTAAAAAGCAACAATTTGTTAAATATAGCGTTATTCCCCTTTCACCATTAACTGCACAAAGACTTTGTAAAATTGTTTATTAATTATTATTTTTATATTGTTTTAAAGCTTTTGTTCGGCGTAAAATAATGGTGCTTGATTTGGATGAGACATTAATTCATTCACATCATGATGGACTTCTCCGGTCGACTGTTAAACCTGGAACACCTCCAGATTTTATTATAAGGGTTTTTTTCTTTTCTTTTAATTTAAAATTTCTTTCTTATTTTTTAAGGTAACTATTGACAATCAACCGGTTAGATTCTTTGTCCATCTTCGGCCGCATGTTGAATTTTTTTTGTCAGTTGTTAGCTGTTGGTTTGACCTTGTTATATTCACTGCTTCAATGGAAATTTATGGGGCTTCTGTTGCTGATAAATTAGATCAAGGACGTGGAATTTTACAAAGGCGATATTTTCGGCAACATTGCACCCAGGATTACAAGTTTTTTTTAATTTAAATAATTTTTAAAATAATTTCTTAGCGGGTACACAAAGGATTTGGCTGCTGTTCATCCAGACCTTTCTTCAATATTTATTTTGGACAATTCTCCAGCTGCTTATCGGAACTATACTCGTTAATTTTTAAATTTTTCTAAAATTCAAAATTCTCTTTTAATTTTCAGAAAATGCCATTCCAATAAAATCTTGGTTCAGTGATCCGTCTGATACTTGTCTCTTAAATATTTTACCTTTTTTGGATGCTTTAAGATTAACTTCTGATGTTCGCTCAATTTTAGGTCGAAATTTACATCACCGGACACAACAATTACAATTAATGCAGCAACAACAATTTAGTTGTTTTCCTTCTGTAAGTTTTTTTAATTTAAAAATTTTTAAAAATTGTTTTTTAATTTCTTTCAGAGATGATTCTCAACATATTCAATGACAACGTCAAATTCTCTTTTTTTTTGTTTGCAATTTCACCTCTTTCCATGTTTCTCATACGGCTTTCGTCCATCAAAGATTCATACATTGCGCATTCATTTTTTTATTTTTTTTGTTTTAAATATTTAAAATTTCCTCTTCCAGAAATGTTTCGAAATTTCGATTTGGACATTTTTGTCAAAAAAAAATTCAAAGTACTGCCTGGAGTGCAGATGGATTATATCCGAGGAGGGGGTGGGGGATGGGTCAATTAACTTTTATTTCGAAATTTTTTTCTTTCGAAACATTTCTGTTCTCCTTCCCAAAAATTCAATTCTCCTCTATTCATGGTTTTTGTTAAATTAAATTTTTTTCCAAAATATATTTTTATATATAAAATGTTGATATAAATTATTTTTTATTTATATAAATTTTTAATTTGCTATTTAATTCATTTTTTGTTGTTCTTTTCAGATTTTATTTTTTTTAATTTAAAATTCAAAGCTTGAAAGCCCCAAAAATATTTTTAAACTTTATTTTTCTAGGTATTAAACAAAAATAGGCTAGACTTATTTTTAATCTTTTTTTTCTTTTTAAATTATATACAATCATTTTTTCATTAGATTATTTACATTTTTTTAAAGTTGTGACCATATATTTATTTATTTTTAGAATAAAAATTAAAGAAATTGTGATTATTTTTAAAAATTATTATTAAAAGGAAAATTATAAAAAAATTTTGTATCCAATAATTCCATTTCTCATTCAATAAGCCTAAAAAATGAAGAAAATTATTTTAAAATTAAATTTAAAAAACTTTTCTATTAAATAATGTTTTTGTTTTTCAATAATTAATTGTTTCTCTTCCTGTTTATTATTAATTTCTTCATTATTAAAACAACAATTATTTATACTAATTTCTTTTTTAGAAGAAATTTTTTTAAATGCTGAAGGAATTGAATATTTAAATATTTCTTTTTTATTTGAGGTATTTGTTGTTGGAGTAGTAAAAAGTTGTGATGAACGAGGATGTATTGAACCAGTACGGCGATAACGAGTCATTATTTTTGAAACACAAGCTTTAAATTTAAAAATAATTCTTTTTTTTGTTTAAACCAAATGGTTTAAATTTACATATTTAAAGGGAATGAGTGATCGGGTGGCCCTACCGAACGGTGTTTTTATATCTGTAGTGCTGTACATGATACCGACCTATTAACTTTTTAAGTTGACGGTATTACTGTACAAAATACGAGGGAAGGGGGCAAAATTCCGATCACCATTTTTTAAAATAATTTTTGGAGAATATTCTTTAAATATTAAAAAAATAATCTCTAACAATGTGTAACTCCAATAATTTTGGCAATATGACTAATTTTTAATCCACGTTGATATAAATCCAAAATTCTTTGTCTTTCTAATATTCCCTTTAAAAAAATTTTTTTTAATTTAACAAAAAATTATAACAAACTAAAGGTCTTCCTGGATTATATGAACGACCAAGTTTATTTCTTGCTAAATAAATAAAAATATATTTTTTTCAAAAATAATTATTATTACACAAAGATTCTAATTGATTATTTAAATTTTGAGAAGAATTATTTAAATAATTATTTATTATTTGAAAATTATTAGTATTTGTTATTATTTGTTTATTATTTAAAAATGATTGTAATTGTTGTTGGTAAATATTTGGGGGTGGTAATAAATTGTTGTTGTTGTTGGTAATATTTTGAATTGAATTGTTCTTTAAATTAAAATTTATTTTTATTCAAAACAAATAAAAATATTTAAATTACAACTAAATACTTATTACTAATTTTATATTTAATTTTTTTTTCAAAATTTTCCTAAAAAATTCTTTTTTTAATTCAAAATTTAAACTTTATTTTGTAAAAATTCCCAAAACATTTTTCTAATATTATTTTCATTAATTTCCAATATTTGTTGTTGTATTAAAGTTGGGGGGCATTGTGGAATAAATAAATTAGTAGACGATAATTTTTGAAAATAATTTATTTGATTATTTAATTCTAGAGAATTTAAATTATTTTTATTTATTATTAAATATTCTTCTAAATTTTTATAATTATTTGGAAACGAATGTTGTTGTTGTTGTTGTTGAATATTTAACGGATATATTAATTCCATTTTTATTTTTAAAAATATTTTTTTGAAAGAAATGTCAGTCAACAATTAATGAACTGGGGCATTAGGCCACAATGGGTGTTGTGGATCAAAACTAATTGAAAATTATATTATAGCCTCAGGCTATATATTTATTTTTGCGCTTTTCCTCCTCTTCCCTCTCCTTTTTTTGTACTTTTAAATTACTCCAAAAAAACAATTTTCGAAAGGACAAAAACACAAACTAGCTTAAATAAGAATAAAAAACAACCTGTTCTACTTTAAGGCCATTTTATTTTGTTGTTTTGGGAAAAGATGTTGTCCCACTGCGTGAAGTGGATCGGCCCTAAGGCTAAAAAATGGAAGGCCCAAATATTCTTTTCTTATTCTCACCTTTGCATTATTTCCTTTTATTTAGTAAATAATCCCATTTATATATTATTTTTTCTTCCATTTCAAAAGACCTGTCTCACATAAAAGAAAAAAAACTAAATTATATCCCAAAGTATTTGTAGTTAATTTTTATATTTATTTTTTCCTTCTTTTTTAATATCCATTTATTTGGCCCTTGACTGGCTTTTTATTTGAAAAAAAAAGAATTTTGTCGCGCAACTAGAATTGGGGAAGGTTGTTTCCAATTAAAGAAAATTAGGGCAAATTATACATATAATTGAAAGAAAAGAAAAAAAAGTTTAATAAATTTTTAATTTTAATTTATAACCAAGAAAATAAGTACATATATTTACTTCAAGTCTATTAAAATTAGAAATTTAAGTATTTACATAAAATATTTGATATTTTAGCTCCATCTATCGAAGTATTTAATATAAGCAGTTAAAATGAAGTGGCCTTAAAGTAGATATTTCAATACTTCATCCATTTTTTAAAAATATTTTATCCAAATTAAACAATTTTCCTTATTTTCGGTAAATTTTGTTATTTTCTCGAAATTATAAATTTCGTCCACATTTTAGCTAATTGTAGTTTGGGAAATTTGTAGGCATTTAGGGTTTTCAAAATTTTATCATATTTTTAACATTTTCGAACATATTTTGATTTTTCAACTGATAAACATGTATTTTCCGTTTGGACTTGTTATGGAAATGAGAAATAATTCTAATTTTTGGAATTAAATATAAATTACATATGATTTTGTTGAAAGCTTGGTGTGATTATTATTGAAGAAATCTGTGTTAAAGTTCTCAAATATATTTCAATTGCCGGCACAAAATCCTAAACCTTCAATTATGTTATGTATTATAATAATTAAACCAAATATAATTAGGGGGATCAATTTTTGCTTTACTAGGGTAAGATGAGAAACCGACTTAATAACACTACAAATTTAATAAATCTAGACCACTACTAGATATTCAAAACAATAAACAATTGCAAAAATACTTAGGAAGTCGGAAAACTAATAAATTCTTGGATCTAAAAAATAAACCACAAAACAAAAGATTTATTTACAAATTTATTTTACAAACAATTATACAGAAAATGAACTACATGAAATACAAATTTGGAACAAACACAAAGGAAAACAGTAGGAAAACATTACAACAATTTGTGAGAGGGAATATCACTATCCTATGAGTTTTTACAGCTTGGTCCATATTATTCGTCGATTACCAAAATAAACAACCTCAGAATTTTACTATAAAAGCAGCTCGTTTTTCATATTCGTCACCGTCAACAGCAACTTGTATTCCTCACCACCAACAGCTACTCTTCGTCACCTTCACGTCAACGCAATGCCGAATCCAGCCCCGAAGGAGGACACTTGGGCGTTCAATCCGATCGGCGCACCATTTCCGGACAATCCTGTCAAAGTGCTGGGCCAGCAGAACATGTACGTCGCGCTTTGGTACAAGAACGGAAAGCCAGTGCACGGCTATGCATGGAACGATGGTGGCGTTGTACAGGCTTCGTTCCCGTATGGCAAGGCGGAGCTCACGGGAAAGGAAGACCTCGGCGGCATGATTCAAGTGAGTTAATTTTGACAATCTTTTTAACAAAAATCATACGTAATATTAAATTTAACAGGTGCTGCAGTACAAGGGTGACCACAACACGCTCGGCTACTGGTACGAGTGGATCAAATACAAGGACCGTTTCGAGAAAACCGACGAACGACAGCTGGTTCGATGCGGCGACTCGATGCCGATTCTCTGGGAGGGGAGGACCGGTGGTACACTGCTCGGCTACTTGAACATGAAGACGGAGGAAGCCTTCTTCTCACAGGGAGGGAAGGCGGAATGCATTGTAGGGAAGCCACTCTCGGAAATGAAGATCATAATGAGGTGAGATCTTGCTCTTTTTAACATTCTGATTTACCTGACATTTTAATTTGTAGGAACTTGAAAGGAGGACCGTTGGGATGCGTGTGCAACATCTGCTTCAAAGCTCCTCCGCCACCAGTACCACCACCACTCATAATGCTGAATGAGTGGGCAGACATCAGGATGGGAGACGCATGGCCAACCTACAAGACGATCAGAGCAGGCGACAAGACGTTGAGTGCGGCACCAGGAGATTCTAGTGAGCAGCATGTAGCCCTGTGGTATGTGCATGGTGAGCCAGTAATGGGACGGATCTGGAACAACAATGGCAAGGTGACAGCACTCCATTATATTTTACCGTTTTAACTAGATTAATTTTTTTCATAGGTCGCTGCTGCATTCGGCTGGAATGGGAAGGCCTTCGTCGACAACATCGGCTCCATTCAGGTTCTGGTCGACCTCCCAGAACGTGTCCGTGGCTACGACTATCAATGGCGGCCGTGGAGTGATGCAGCTGTCTTCGACAAGAACGCCCGAGTCTTCTATCCTGTTCACGTCGATCATGTGAAAGGTGTGTTTTGCATTTACATTTGATAATTTAAAAATAAATCTTGCATCAATTCAGGAAACATCTCGCCATGCCTGCTAACTCTTCCAAATGGCAAGGAGGCACTTGGCAAGGCTGACATTCGCAATGAGCGTGCATCGGCTGTGGTCGCAGGCAAGGACGAGCGATTCGAAGGGCCCGCTGTGCACAGGTTTCTCGTGCTCTGCCGCAAACCGAAGCCAGGACAGAAGTTCGACGAATAATATGGACCAAGCTGTAAAAACTCATAGGATAGTGATATTCCCTCTCACAAATTGTTGTAATGTTTTCCTACTGTTTTCCTTTGTGTTTGTTCCAAATTTGTATTTCATGTAGTTCATTTTTCTGTATAATTGTTTGTAAAATAAATTTGTAAATAAATCTTTTGTTTTGTGGTTTATTTTTTTAGATCCAAGAATTTATTAGTTTTCCGACAACCGCGACCAAATTACTCGTTGACAAGTTTTTAAAAAATGATTTTAAAACTTAAGAATTTGTTAAAATCATTTACGTGATTATTTCCCATTTTTATAATAAATATAAAAAATTAATGTATGTACATATGTATTAGAGACCGGAATTTTGTACCGTACCGAATTCCGCTCGGTAATACCGAAAAATACCAATCAATTTCAAAATTTTACCATATTACCCACTTCTATAGGTTATTGTACGGAATACCGAAGAATGCCGTCAGTACTACGGCAAGGTCTCTAGTACGTATTACTATTTTTAATAATCACAAAATTTCACAAGAAGTATTATATTTTTTAATATTCTTCATCATCAGGTAAAGGTTCAGAGCATTCAGCAACCTTTAAAAGCTATTTTAAAAAATATTTTATTAAAAATACTTCTTCATAATCTTTCTCTAAAGCAGCCAAATCTTCTCTCGCTTCAGAAAATTCTCCTTCTTCCATCCCCTCCCCAACATACCAATGAACAAATGCACGTTTAGAATACATTAAATCAAATTTATGATTTAAACGAGCCCACGCTTCAGCAATTGCTGTTGTATTTGATAGCATACAGACAGCACGATGAACCTTTAATATTTTTTAAAAGTAATTTTAAATATTTCATTTAACTTTTAAAATTTTGTTCGGACTCCATAAATTTGACCAAAGCCAAATATTTCACAAAACAGGCGTCAAAAAACTAAACCTTTTGTTTTATACTATTGAGGTGCTGAAGGTGAATTCTAATTTATAAATTTGAGCCGAAGACTAATATAAGCTTTATATTAATTTAGGCGCTAAAAAGTTCGAAACCCGCGCGGGTTGTGTCATCATTTAACTGCTTGCGCCCAACCCTATTTAACTATTGAAACCATCTTTTAATTAAAAAGTGTGCTTTTAAAGACCTTTATTTTACCTTAGCCAAATCACCGCCAGGTACAACAGTCGGTGGCTGATAATTAATTCCAACTTTAAAACCCGTTGGACACCAATCAACAAAATTAATTCCCCTTTTTGTTTTAATTCCAGCAATTGCTGCATTTACATCTTTTGGAACAACATCCCCTCTATAAAGCAAACAAACAGCCATATATTTGCCTTTTCTTGGATCACATTTAACCATTTGATTAGCTGGTTCAAAACACATTTGTGTACATTCAGCAACAGATAAAGATTGATGATAAGCCTTTTTTAGAAAAAAAAAAGTGTTAAAAAATAATGGGGTTTTCTTGTTAAATATGTAAAAGCTATAGAGATTTTTCAAAAGTTTTTTTCTTAGAAATTATTAATTATCTTAATTAGCTTTATTTAAGATAAATATTTTTATTTTTTACTTTGTCAGCAGAAATTACAGGTGCATAAGTGGCTAAAGGAAAATGAATTCGTGGATATGGAACCAAATTAGTTTGAAATTCAGTTAAATCAACATTTAAAGCGCCATCAAAACGTAATGATGCAGTTATTGAAGAAACAATTTGGGCTATCTTTTTTTAAATAAAACAAAAATATTTTTTGTTAAAATTATTTCTATATTTTATTCCTTTTTGTTAAAATAAAATACTAAAATTTATTCAAAAGGGAAAAAGGAAAGAATTAAAAATGAGTTATACAGTATTTTCTCTAACAAAGTCCCACACTCTAAATAATACAGCCCCAGTCTGGAGGATAGTCAAAAAATACAACCACATGGGATTTATAGAAAATACGGTATGTATGTATTAGGTAATGAATTAAAATAAATTGTTTTTAATTCAAAGAAGCCAGAATGTGAATAGCCAAGACTAACTGGCAACAGGGAGAAGCACCAGAAATAATTTTAAAAATCAAAACTTTTTGCAATACTTTTTTTTATTTAGTTTAACAAAAAGGAAGAAAATAAAAGAAATTTTTTTATTCAAAACATACCAATCTATTAAGGTTATTATATGAAGGTCTCTGTAAAAAGTATGTGAAATTTAGAAAAATTAAAATATAAATTTAATTTAAAAACAAAAAACTATTAATTTTATTATTTCTTTATTTTTATTTAATGAACTCCAATATAATGAAAGTAACCCACTTCTTTACAATAAAACTTAAAATTTATCCCAGAAATCATCATTTTAGTCAACTCCCCTTTTTACCCCCCCCCCCCCTCCCCAAAAGTGTCTCCAATTAATTTCTCAAAAATTATTATTTTTTACCTCAACATCTAAACTTTTTCTACAAATATCATAAATAGCTTCATTATCAACCATAAAAGAACAATCAGAATGATTTAATGTTGTATGTGTTGTTAATATAGAATTATAAGGTTCAACTACAGCTGTGGCTACTTGAGGGGCTGGATACACAGAAAATTCTAATTTTGATTTTTTTCCATATTCTACAGATAAACGTTCCATTAAAAGTGCACTAAATCCAGACCCGGTACCTCCACCAAAAGAATGGAAAACAAGAAAGCCTTGAAGGCCAGAACAACTTTCAGCCTTTTTTAAATTTTGTTGAAATTTTAGATTAAAATTAATCTTTAATTTTCTAATTTTTTTATTAATTTATATTTTTTAATCCCTTTTCAATATTTATTTAATTTTTTTAAAAATAAGAATTTTTAAAAAAAATTTTTAATCTTTGATTAAATTAGAACAGATCGGGGAGGTTTTTTTTGTTAACTAAATAAATTCAAATTATTTATTTACCTGTTTACGTATACGTTCTAAAACTCTATCAATATGTTCTTTACCTTTAAATATACTTTATTTATTTATTTTTCTATTAATTTAACCAATAGTATAATGCCCTCTAGCATAATTATTAGCTGCATCTTCTTTTCCAGTAATTAATTGTTCTGGATGAAATAATTGTCTATAAGGACCTACACGTATTTCATCAATCACACTTGGCTCTAAATCTACAAAAATAGCACGGGGAACATATTTTCCATTTGAACTTTCAGTATAAAAAGTATTATAATACTTTAAAAATATTAGGGGTATTTTAAATTAAATTTTATTATTTTGCCTGGCATTTTTCTCTTCCCTTTCTCTCCCCAATTTCAAAAATTTCCTCATTTTCTTCTTTTTCTAATAAAAATCCATCTTTTCCAATTCCATGTTCTAAATTATAAAGTTCCCAACAAGCATTACCTATTTGAGCGCCTGCTTGTCCAATATTTACAGAAATACATTCACGCTTAAGAAAAAAGAAAATATTTATTTAAAAATAATTTTATAAGACTTACTCCCTCTGTAGGCATTATTTTAGACTGATATTTAATTTTGTAATAAATTCTCAAAAATTAAATGAATGAGCTTTTCTTGTAAATATATTGGGTGGTTAACAAAGAAAAATCGGAGATTGAAATTACAAGACAATAATCTAAACGTGGAGGACATTTCTAAATGTAAATTTGATCTTTATCATTTGAAGTATTAAGAAAATATTTTTATTTATTCTTAAGGAAACCGAAGATGGGAGAACAGAGGGAGGGAGATAATTATAATGAAGGGCTAAATGCCGTAGTCTTAAAAAATAGCCTTTGGGGCTTCAACAAAATTGATAATTCTTTTTTTATTCGATTTCGACACTGAAAAAATTGATATCAAAATCGCTCTTAAGTTTTATAATTTAATCAGGTTAATTTTATAAAAAATTTTGAGAAACATGGGTGAAGCTAATGGAAAGAGAGAAAGCCGAATGTTGCAAATGCAAGGCAAATTGCGAACTGCCTCTCGAGAATAGAGACTATGAGTTTGCCTAATAAGTTTAATCAAAATTAAAAAAATATGTACAATAAATTACTAAATTCCTTTATTTTGTACATTTTAAAGGATAATCACATTGAGGTCTTAAATATAAATTTGTGTATACAAATAATGATTAGAATGCCCAAAAAAACTTCACATTATATTTAATTCTTTTATTTTTTACGGCGACGACTCTTTTTAGATAAAACTTTGGGGGTAACATCTTCTTTCACTTCTACATTACTTTGTTCCAATTCCTTAAATATTTTATTTTTCAAAAAATCTGAGTATTTACATGAATTTCCTTACTTCTTTACTAACTGCCCCATTTTCAATTTGTTCCTTTATTTTTGCTTCAGTCTCAAAATGTAACAAAAGATCATGAATTTGTTCTTCTAAAGCCCCCACTTCAATTTTTCTTTTTTGATTAGTTTCTTCTAATTTACGTGAAAGAAGTTCTTTATCAATTCTCAGTAATTTACTCATTTGCTTTTCTTCTTCGAGTTCATTTTGTAATGTTTGGCATTTTGTTTGTGAAGATAAATATTTTTTATCAAGTTGTTTTTTTGAATTAGAAAGTGTTACGAGTTCGGCGCTGGTAGAAGTTAATTCATTTCGAGTAGATTTTAATTCAGCTTCCAACGAATTAATCTAAAATAGAAAGTAATGAAATAAACAAAAATTAAAAGAATTTTGACCAAGTGTTCATTACAGTTTCCTGGTCAATATAGGTATTATTTAAGAAGAATCCAGACCCGAATTTTCTAAATCTTTGGTTAAAAAATTTTAAATACTTTTTGTTGTGCCTCTCTACTATATTCATTAAAACGTTCATCAGATTCACGAAGTTTTTCTTCATAGAAAAGTCTTTGATTTTCAAGTTGGCTAGTTAATAAACAAGTATATTCAAGTTGAACAGCACTTATCTTTTCCTTTTCTTTCTAACAAAATAAATAATAAAATTAAAAAATATTTAAGTAATTTACTTCAAAACTATCATTATTAACTCCCTCATATTCAACAGGTTTTCCTTTAAAATAAATTTTAAAATTTAAAAAAAATTAAAAGAACCATCAGTTGAACTCTCAATTAATCTATGGACATAATTATCTCCAGCATAATCCCAAACAAGTTTTCCACCAATTTGTAAAGTAAAAATATGTGAAGTAGTCTCATAATGTCTTTTTAATAAATTTTATTAAAAAATACAAAAATAGTCACTTATAGGCATGTGCCGCTGCATAACGACCACAACCGATATTTCCACAAATTAGACACATCCAAAGGTCAGAAGTACGTCCACAATCTTTTATGAAGGAATAGAATATATTTAAATAAAGTTTATTAACCAAAACATTTCTGGTCAGGAACAATTTCAGGTGTTTGTGTATAACGACAGATAGGGCAGCTAAAAATATTTTTACTTAAATTTTTAGATAAACTAACGTTGTGTCCGCCCATTGACTAATACATTTAGCATGAAATGAGTGATTACTAAAATATTGAATATTTTATTTAAATCTAAAATAAACCATAAAATAATTAATAACATATTGTTTCCTTCTTCCATTCTTTCCAAACAAACAGAACAAGTACGTGTCTCCCCATATGCAGGATCAACATGTAATCCTGTAAACGTTGTTGAATCATCTCCTTCCTTAAATCAGAAAATAAAAACTCCAAAATTTTTTAAAAAATTAACCGCTTCAATTGTATCAACAAAACGAAGAGAACATTTTTCCGGTTCAATTGAATTAAATTCTAAGCCATTATATTGTTCATAAAATTTAGTTGCTGACTCCTATAAAAGACAATTAAAAAGTATTAAAAATAATTTTTACCGGAGTTTTAAATTTTATAGTAACCATATATTTATTAGCTGTTTCGTCACGAACTATTTTCATTAGTAAAATATGTGTAGATGAAGGGCGGACAAAGCTGACTAGTTCACGGCAAGTAAAAAACGCAGGAATGTCCATCATAACAAGCATACAACAATTATTTATTTGAGGATGTTCAGAACTTTAAAATTGATTTAATAACTTTCAAATTATTTTAAAACCTTTCCAAATTTTCTTTATGCAAATGCATAACCCCACGATGTTTTTCAACAAATGGATTTCCATGGTAGAATGGTTTGGTGTCAGGATCAACCGCTTAAAAATTATTATAGACCATCCAAGTTAGCGAATAAACAAAAAAACATTTAAATATACAACCCACTGTTTTTTTCTAAAACATCCAAATCTCTCATGGGGGGTATTGAAATTGTTTCATTCGTCTTTTCATTTTTAAGTACATTCTTTGTATTTTTTGATAGCCTTTTTGTCTCCACAGATGTAGAATAACGCTTTTTGGTCGAAATCGGTGTTAATGACTCCTCCGGCTTTGCAAATTTTTGACTTGTAGATTTCATTACTAAATACATTAAATCGAATAAATTTAAAATTTTAGATACTTAATGTTCAAACACAAACCAAATAAAAACATTTTACAAAGAATTAAATACAATTTATTATACAAAAATATAAAATAATCGGCAGTTAAAAAATATATACATATACACAATTAAACTTAGTTATTTATTCATCTTCATCTATACATATTCATTAGATAACAGAAACAAACACATCGAATGCAAGCACACAAAATACATAAACAAGATCAGCATTAGCCAACCATGGATTAGTGGCACCAAAACTCCAAATAGGTCGCTGAATTGTAGAATTTTCTTGCAAAAGTTGATTAAGACCATAATAGAATAGCTTTGAAAAGAAAATATTCTTTTTAATTTCGATAATTGTTTAAAATACCTGGAAATGAATAAATAGAACCTTTAGATTAATTCCACAACATATAAATGAAAGAAAAAAACAGAAGAAAGAAATTCGAGCAGTTAACAACAAAAGTATCCAAACTATCCCATTAACAGTTAATGCAAGTCCAATAAATAAATCCAATCGAGATTCTTCTTGCCTATTAAAGAAACGAATTGGAGAAGAACAATGAGATTGTTTTTGTCGAAGATCTATATCATCATCTTTGTTGAAAACTCCAAATTTATCAATCTAAAAAATCAAAATTTTCAAATCAATTTTTTTAGAAATATTACCAAAATACAAAAAGCCATAGGACAAATAATCTTCGGTGCATTAAGCATTAAATTGTAATCACATAAACGCCCCATAGAAAAACCAATAAAGAAAATTTTGACATACAAATCCGAACGACGCTGCTTAATTGTTTCTAAAATATTTCCATTATTAAATTATAAATTTTAAGAATTATAACCATGTACTCTTTCCACACTTAACTGCAACGGAAGCAACAAAATGACAGTTAATGCCTGGTAAACTGCCAACTGTGGTGCCCAAGCGAATTCTGTCCACAAATTACCAATAATCTCACCAAGCGTCAAAGCTATCAACAAAATAGTTACAGCTTAAAATTAAATTTGTTTGATATTAAAAAACGGAACTCACTGAAGTACATCTCATGAATCTCGTAGAAAAGTGGAGCATTGTCAAAGTTTAAAAACGTCACATCTGCCAAAGCATCAACAAACTTGAAAAAAGATTTTTATCGTTAAACACAACCACTCACCGTAAAATTTTGCTGTCGTTTTTCCACCGGAAGAAAAACTTGCAGAAATATTCCCTTCAGATCTTTTAGTACTCTGCTTATGCTGCGCCATTGGTTTGCAACCAAACACTTGACAGCGACTGAAGTTTCGAATAATTGCTTCGAACAATTTAGCAAAACATTGTGATCTTCCAAAGACTTTGAACGACTTGAAACCATTTTGACAGAGATGTGAAAGATCAAATGACATAATGGGTAGAAACGACGCTTTTATATGTTAATTTAAGTGATTTTATTTAACTCTAAAAAAGTAAAAAAAGAAAGTGATTTAATTTTGTAAAAATAATAAGCTTTAAAACAAGAATTAAGGTTAAAATAATTGCACAATTGACAACATTTTTTAAAAAATGTATACAAAAATAAATTTAAAAAAAACAAGTCAAAAAAATGGAGTAACTGCTGAGGAGGCTAAAGTTGTTGGTTCTTTCTTCACGTGCAACCTTGTTTCATCATTCTTCTAGAAATTTTTTTATTTAACTAATAAATTCTGAAAAAATAATTTGTACCTTTTCACGTTCCTTTTCTTTCTTCTTCTTTTTGTCCTTCTTGCGCTTTTTCTTTTCACTTTTTTCTTTATCATCTCCTTTATGCTTTTTGAATTTTCTTTCACCATCTAAAACTTAAATTTAGGAATTCATTTTAATCCATAAAATTTAGAAAGGTTCTTAAAAAAGTACTACGCAATTATCCGACCGCGTTTATTACTTCCTTTCTCAATACTCAAAAATGTTAGAAATAATTAAAAGTAGTGCTTCGCATGCCGTGTGAAAATTCCGAGTCGCACCTGCTACGAGATACGAGCGTAAATAGACCAAAGGCAGTACTTTAGCCGGTGGCCCGCTCAAAACCCTTAAAAATTTATACCATTCGATTTGTCTCGGCGAGCTGAGTCGAATGGTACCACTCCCCATCTGCGGAAATTCTGAGCCAAGATATAGGTCCTTAAAAATCGAAAAACCATAGGGGAACCAAATTATGATCATTTTTAATCCTTATGAGAAAGAGAAATTCGAGCAGATAACCGGTAGTACCAAAAAGACAAACCATCCAATTCATCAAGTGAGCGCTTTACACGAGTTCCATACCGAATATCAGTTCCATTATCTTTTTGTAAATTAGGGTCGATAACGGATTGTTGCTGCTGTTGAATGACGCTAGTAGTAGCCAATTCAATGGGAATATTTGTTAGGTCAAAGTATCGATATCCATCTGGCACTGGACCTTTAGAAAATTAAAGAAAAAATTAATAAATACATAAATTTCTTTGAACTAAATTTTACAAAATAGAATAACACAAAATTTAAAAAAAATTCCAATATTGTTAAGAGAAAATAAATTATAAAGTTAAACCTGGAGCAAGTTTGAATCCATTCATTTGACCAGCAGTAAGATTATTTATTTCTTTACCCATAACAGGAGGCTTCTCGATTAGTTGCCGAAGAGAACTTATTTAGCATAAAATATTTTCTGAATTTTTTAATAATTTAAAAACTAACCACGATGCATCAGCTTTTTTATTAATTTGAGTTGCACCACAAACATGAGGCAAAAAAGAAGCGAGATCTTCTTTAGGTTTTTTAGGTCCACAATAACGATTATAAGAACCATTTAAGTCAAGAAGTGAAATTAAATCTTCACTTCCAAGAAGCTGACTAGGAGCTAAAAAAATAATTCTTTTCGAGATTAAAAATAAATTTAACTTACGGGGAAGTTCTGGTTTCATTCCATAAAATGGTGAAACAAGTGAGAGTTGTGATTGATTACCTTTCAATGAAATTTTTGTTCGTAAAAAACCGGAGGAAGCACTCGTTCCAGTATGTTCCACCATTATTTACAGTCAGCCAATCACCTAAAAAAAGCCAAGACACAGCAGCTCAAAATGGTACCTTAAGCCGCTACAGCGAAATTAATTTTTTCGTTCCTTTTATCGCGTTCTATCCCTCAAATATTTGATCCGCATAGCTCCTATTTTCTCCGCTCTAAATTAGCCCAACTAAACCACATTAACAAACTGAAACCATTTAGTTACTCTTTCTTATTTTGAGCTGCTGTGCCAAAATGTGAATGAAAAAAAAATTAAGGTTTTTAATTAATTTTTTAAAAAATTTATATTTTATGGCATTTTGTCTTTTTGTCAAAATGTGACAGTCAGAATATCAATGAACAAAATATCCAAATTGTAAATCGTACAATTTAAAACCTTCACAATCAGCATTGCTCATGATGTTTTGATTTGTAATAAAATTGTAATTGTTCGTTTACACATACTAGTAAATCAAAAAATATCACGCCATTTTTTCAGGTGCAATGATAAAACTGGTAAAGAAAAGCCCAATCATTCTTTCTGAATTAAAATAAAATTAAATTTTTAATAATTTAACCAAATGTTTGCTCAAAATCTTCAGGTTTTTTTTCTTTTTATTATGCTAAACTTGGAAAAATTCAGGATGTTTTCATCGTTTCTGCAGTCCGCACACCAATTGCCTCCTTCCGTTCTTCATTTTCTACACTGAGTTCTATCGAGTTAGGCAGTATTGCATCTTGTGCTGCAATAAAGAGGGCAAATATTAATTCAGACATTGTAATTTTATTAAATTAGTTTAGATTAAAAAGTTTTTTCAATTGTAGATAGAAGAAGTAATCACCGGTTCTGTTTTGACTGCTGGTGTTGGCCAAAATGTTTCACGACAAATTGCCTTGAAATCAGGTATTTTTAATGCCATTTTCGGTTGTGTAATTTTTATTTTAACTTGTATGTTTTAATTTTCGTAAATAAATAACTAATTTTTCAATAACTTAATAAATTTTTTTTGATTTTCATTTTTCTATTCAGGTGTCCCAGAATATCGAAATGCTTTTACAGTGAACAAAGTCTGCTCATCAAGCCTCAAAGCTATGCATTTGGCTACTCAGTCATTAATGCTTGGTACGCGTGATGTTGTGCTTGTTGTTGGTGTTGAAAGCATGAGCCAGACTCCTTTTTATCTTGCTAGAGGGGAGAATGGATATGGTGATGTTAAGTTGGTGGTGAGTATAACAGTGATTTATAAATAATTTAAAAATATTTTAAATTATTAGGATGGCATTCAACGAGACGGAATTTGTGACGCCCTTTTAAATCAACCGATGGGACTTTGTGCTGAGAAAACTGCTAAGGATTATGGATTTACACGTGAAGATCAGGACAATTATGCTCTTAAATCTTATGAACGAGCCGAGAAAGCTTGGACGAATAGGGAATTTTCTGCTGAAGTTGTAGAGGTTAACGTTCGTCAACGAAAAGGATCGCCTGATTTGGTTATAAAAGAGGATGAGGAGTATAAACGATTGATTAAAGAAAAGGTTTCTACATTGGCCCCCGCTTTTTTAAAAGATGGAACTGGGACAATTACTGCTGCTAATGCTTCTTCTCTTGTAAATAATTACCATACTATTCTTCCACAATTTTTTTAAAAATTAACTGTTTCAGAATGATGGCGCTGCAGCAATTGTTCTTGCATCGAAAATTGGTCTTGCACAAAATAGCACTCTAAAGCCTATTGCTAAAATTGTGTCTTTTGCGGAATCTGCTCGATTACCTATTGATTTTACTATCGCCCCAGTTGATGCCGTTAAATTAGTTTATTTTGTTTTCTGATATAAATTTAAAGTTTAAAATTTAAAGTTACTTAAACAATCAAACATGTCAAAAGATGAAATTGCTCGTTGGGAAGTTAATGAAGCTTTTTCTGTTACTGCTTTGGCTTTTATTCAATCGTTGGACTTGGATCCGGCAAAAGTAAATGCACGCGGAGGGGCCGTTGCCTTGGGACATCCAATTGGTAAGAAATAATTAAAAGACAAAATCTGTTTTTAGTTTTTCTTTTAATTATTTCTCTTTTAGGTTGTTCAGGAGCGAGAATTGTAGTCACTTTATTACATCAATTGACAGCTGGTGAATATGGAATTGCAGCAATTTGCAATGGAGGAGGGGAAGCAACTGCTATTCTTGTTCAAAAGATATGAGATGTGATTCTTAGAGACTTTTTTCAGCCTAGTGATTTTTAAAATAATTTATTCAAATTTCTATATTTATTATTTGTTAACATAACATTCCATTACAAAGTGCCATTATCTAAATTGACCTTAAATTACAAAAGCCTTTACTTGTCAATAAAACTCAGATTGTTATTTTTAAATAAATTTTTTTATATTTTTTATTAGCCTTTATTAGTCTGTTTTTATTTTCTAAATATTTTAATTCTATTAAACAAAATAAATTAATATTTTCAGGCTTGTAGCTATTCTTTTAAAAATTTTCAAAAATGTTTACCTTCTTGAAGCGCCAAATTATTCCTTTTATCGCTCCTCGAGAATCTGTTACAATTTCTGTAGCAACTACCACTAGCCAGCCGTTAATAATGAAAATTCGAAGACATAAAATGAACAAGCACAAATATCTTAAAAGACTTAAACGCGATTGGTGGCAAATTAAGAAGAGGCAGGCTCAGAAAAAGCAAAGGGTAATTAAATTTGTTTTCGTTTATATGGGCTAAATTCTTAATAAATTGCGTTTTAATAGAGTTTGTTTTAGTCTGAAGATCTTTTTCGCGGCCGAATGCGCGAGATGCTTGCCGAGTTTGAGCGCTTCGATCCATTGGAATATGTCAAAGAAACAATGGAAAAGTGAGGGGTTTTTTGTTTAATTTAAGTTTTTTAAACTTTCAGAGCTAATAAGGATTGGAGAGTAGATGTGGAGCCGAGCGGAAGGAAAAAGTTCCCTCATTGGTCGACATTGTTGAGTCTTGAAGAGCTTTATTCAGTCGAGAAGGATGATTATATCGACAAACGCTTTGGATTGCCAAGCAGCGAGGAACTCCCGATCTTGAACAAACTTTGCGCTGATTATCAACATCATTACATTGTAGGGCCAGCAAAAGAGTTTTTGGAAAAAACTAAGAAAAAAGAAGTTGAGGAGAGACAGAAAATTCTTGAAATGGCAGGTTATTCGATTACAAAAATTGATAGAAAAAGTGATGAAAAATAGTTTATTTTTTTACGATTTTGTTATTTTTGTCTGAAAAATGTTTTAACAAACTGCGGCTTGTTATTTATTTGTGCTATATGATGGGTGTTTTTAGGTGCAGAGGTCTATACAAGTTGCACCATATCTCTGATATGGTGACATTGTAAACTTAGATTAAGGAATTAACAGCATGACACAACCCGAACTATTTAAAAATAGGTATATAGTCAGAATTTTATCTTTGATAAAAAATTAAATGTCAAATTAAATTTGCAATTTTCGTTATACATAACTCAAATTTATACATTGCGCCTCAAGGTTGTTGATTTTCTTGAGTTCGTAATTGTTCTTCAGCAAATTTAAGCTCCTCCCTAAGCCATTGCGCATACTTTAATAAGTGAATTAAATAACTTTTTACAAAACCCCCGACTTCCCCATTCTTACACAATACCTGTCCAGTAGATTCTTGGTCTCGTTTTCGTTTACATTCTTGTTTGCAAAGTCCATAATCAACCATTGCTTTTAAACTTTTTGGCTTTTGAATTTTGATTTGTTCTGTGCCATGTAAATTTACATCAACCGATTTAGCCTGTGGTTCCTGTGGAGAGTCAATAAATTGTTTACGGATTTTTGCCTCCGTGCATATTCCAATAATTAATGTAATAAATAAAATAATAAAAATATTTACACTACGAGTCATTATTTATTTAGGTTAGTGCCTTTCGTAAAATAATTTTTGTGTAATTTTGTTAAATTTCTGGCTAAATTAATTTTAATAGTCAAGTGATTGGGAAAAACTATATTAAATATAAATATTTGTAATTTTAATTCTATTCTTAAGATAAGATATGAACACCCGAAGAAAACAATTACGTAAGAGGAAGAGATAAGAATCAACGTAAAGGCAATTTTTAAAGTAAAAATAAAACGGAATCTTTAAATAAGATTTAATTGTTTACGAATTGGAAAAGTAAAGTTAAAACAATTTTAGATGGAAATTTCTCTAAAAGTGAAAGCAAAAAGGGAAACTAATGTTTATCGGAATTCGCATTTTTTTAGATATTCGTACGCAAATTTTAATTTTCAACGGGAATTAGTAATTAATATCACCCCAAATTTTTTTGCGGCTCATAATTATCAGGGGATTCCCTTCTCTTCTTAGAGATAAATTAAGACGGGATTAATTACTAACACAAAATTCACATATACAAGAAAATGAATGTATTGACCATTATTGTTCGAAAAAACAGTACGCAAAGTTCTGTGGACAAACAATAAGTATCCCCAACTTTATTACGATTTTTTGAGAATTAAGAAATAATATTTTCAAAATTTCTTTAAAGAGAATTCTATTCGAGTTAAAGACCGCTTTTGTTTAAAATTTTAATAAAACAAATTTAAAATAACTAACACCAAATTTGTGGAATCCTAAAACATTTATTGTATTTGTCCTCTTTATCCTTCATTTCAAATGTTTGAAAGCCTTAGGCATTGCACAATGGTCGAGAAAGTGAACATAGTCGGTCATTTCCTTTGAATTTATTTTTATATTTTAATAAAGGAAAGCTTTGTTTGATTGAATAAACTGTTCAGAAAAACAATTTTTTACGGGTTTTAAAACAAAATTTAAATAAAATACCATATGGCAAGATTCCCCAGAATCAGGATTGGCTCGGACACGTTCATTACAAGTTTCGAGTATTTCCTTCAAATTAATTGCTTTCTTTTCAAGTGCACATTGCTCGCGAAAAAATGTGACTGGATCGACGCCTTCTTCATATTTTTTCTATAAAAAATTTTTTGTTGTGAATTTAGTAATCAAAATATTTTTTTAACCAAACCTCTGACATTTGTGTCTTCAAAGAAAAAGTTACTAATAAAATAAACTTTAAAGCTGAAAAAGGAAAATAAAAATTAAATAAATGAAAATTTAAAATTTTTTTTAATAATGTACGGCTTTGTCTGCCTATTCGTCAACTACGCAGCTAGAAATGTACATACACTCACCAAAATAAATTTGAATTATTAATGGGTTATGGCAGGATATGACCGAACTGAAAAAAATTTCTGTTGTTTTTCGGTTCGATATGGACTAGAGCCTGGAATTATGAAAGGACCGGAAAACGGAAATGGAAATCTCCAGAAAAAGGCGCTCATTAACAAAAAAAGCAGCCAAAAAATCCACTAATTAACAACTTCGCGACAAAACAGTCTCGACAATCCTTTCATCTTCTCTTTATTTTGCACACTTTTCATAAAAAATCGAAGCTATTGGCTTCTTTGGATTAATTTTAAATTTATTTAATCCTTTTTTATTTTCAGTAACTGAGTAAACTTGTAAACTTTAAAAAGGATGGGAATAAAAGACTTGGCAAAAGTAATTGCTGATCATTGTCCTAAAGCTTTAAAAACAGCGGAAATGAAAGCTTATTTTGGGCGTAAAATTGCTATTGATGCTTCAATGAGTTTATATCAATTTTTAATTGCTGTTAGACAAGATGGAGCTGTTCTTACTTCAGCTGATGGAGAAACAACTAGGTAAATAAATATAAGTATTTTTAAATTAAAAAATATTTTTTTAGCCATTTAAATGGATTATTTTACCGAACAATTCGAATGATGGAAAATGGCGTAAAGCCCGTTTATGTTTTTGATGGAAAACCTCCAGAACTTAAATCTGATGAATTAGATAAACGTTCAGAAAAACGTGCTGAAGCAACACAACAATTAGCGGAAGCAACAGAAAAGGGAGATACTGAAGCTATGGATAAATATAATCGACGTTTAGTTAAGGTAAAAGTTTGTAGAAAGAAAGGTTTAAAAATTTAAAAATTGAAATTTTACTGGTTTATACGTCAAAAGTCCTTTTTAGACATTTTTGTGAATGAACATAAAACATAAATAACAGGGTTAATAAAAAACGTTAAATTATAATTTAAATAAAATTTATAATTATTTTAAAGGTAACTAGTGAACACACTGATGATTGCAAAAAATTACTCAATTTAATGGGCGTTCCAGTTGTTGAAGCTCCTTGTGAAGCAGAAGCTCAATGTGCAGAGCTTGTTCGTAAAGGGGTTGTTTATGCTACTGCAACAGAAGATATGGATGCGTTAACGTTTGGTTCTGAAGTACTTGTTCGACATATGACTTTTAGTGAAGCAAAAAAGATGCCTATAAAAGTTGGTTTTTTTTAATTATTTTATAAAAATAATTGAGTGTTTAATATGAATATTTCCAAAGAATACCCAATTTCATACTTAACTCGTTAACAAAAATTTTTTCTGTTTTAATACAATTTTTTAAATTTAGGAATTTTCTTTGGAGAAAGTTTTACAAGGTTTGGGCATAACATATGACCAGTTTATTGATCTATGTATTCTGCTTGGTTGTGATTATTGTGGAAATATTAAAGGAATTGGTCCCAAAAAATCAGTGGAATTAATTAAACAATATGGATCTATTGAGGAAATTCTTCAAAATATTGACCATAAAGTTTGAGAATCTTTTTTTATTTTCTGAATTTTTATTTCAGAAATTTCCACCCCCAACAGGATGGAAGTACAAAGAAGCAAGAAGTCTCTTTTTGCAGCCAAATGTAGAGGACGGAAATAAATTTGAAGTTTGGTTATTTTAAATAATTTTTTAGAAATATTTTCTTTTTAAAGTTGAAGTGGACAGAACCAAAAGTACAGGAAATTATTGATTATATGTGTGGACAAAAAGGATTTAGGTACAATTTTAATTTTTAAAAGAACGTTCAAATAACTAACATTAGATTAACAAAAAATATTTTTTAGATATAGGGAATTTATTTATTTAATTTTTTAGTAATTAATATTAGACAAATTTTTTGATTATCATTATTAGACGTATCAATAAAAAAATCCATTTCAAAAATTGACGCTTTCCCCCAATTAATTTATTTAAAACTATTTTTAAAACTTATTTTAAATTTAATAAGCTTAATTTAATGACGCATTTATTATTAATTAACAATTTAAATTATTAATTTACGCCCAATTAATTAATTAATTAATCTTTCCTTTAAATTCTTAAACAGTTATTTTTTATTTAAAGGAATTTCCTTTTACGTATTTAAAGTTTTCTTAAATAATAAATTAATTAGGGAAAATCGTCAATTTTTTATAAGGATTTTTTATTTATACGTCTAATGATGATAGTAGGCATATTTTAAATTGATATTTGCCTTTATTTTTTTAAATCTGAGAAAATAAATTTAAAAAATAATTAAATTGTTTTTACAAACATTCTTTCAATTTTTTAAACTTTAAGTGAGGATAGAATCCGTTCTGGCCTTGACCGTTTAAAAAAAAGTCGACGAACTGCCCAACAAGGTCGTATAGATGCATTCTTCGCACCAATTCCTGTAAATGTTGAAAAAGTTGAGAAAAACAACAAAGGAAAGAAAGAAATTGTTGAAGATAAGAAAGAGCAAAAGCCGGCAAAGAAGCGAAGAATAATTATTGAAGACGATGAAGAAGAGGAAGATGAAAAGGTGGAGGAAAAGGAGGAAGAAAATGAAAACAGTGAAGAGGTGGGGGAGAATGAATGATTCATTTATTTTTTTAAAAATTTATTCTTTAATTTTTGCTTTATTCTTCAAAATATCCTTTTAATAATCAAACAAAATTTAATTTTAATCTAAAAATATATTTCCCACAAAAGGACGACGACAAAAATGATGAGGAGGATCAATTAAAAGATCAACAACAACAAATTGGGGGCGGAACAGAAAAAACAAAAAATGCAAAGTCTTCGCTGAAGGTCCTTGCTGCTTCTAAAAACCCAAACAAAAAGGCGAACACTAAAAAGATGACTAAAAAATTTAAAGCTCAAAAAATTAATTGAAACACGCCCATTAATTTATTTTTATTTATTTTCATTCCATCCATATATTGGCCATTTTATTTACTCACACTCAGTTAAATTTTAATTATATTTTTTGGTAAAGAAATTTTAAATTAAAAATATTTCATAGTAAAATGTTTTGGGATGTAAATTATATTTGTAGATTCCTATACTAGTGTTTTCACGGAAATTGTGGAGTTCTCTTTTAAATTTGGGCTAGATTTGACGAAATATGATTTTTTAAAGGCCTGGTTAAGTATTAAAATTCTCTCCACCCATTCATTTCTATACTAATATTTCTTAAAGTTAAGTCAAAAAAACATTTAATTAGACAAACAAAAATATTTTATTAGAAATAAAAACTTCAAAAATTAATAAATCTCCCCCTTCTCTCTTTTAAACTTTTACATATTTCTCGCTTTTTTTACATTCTTAATTTTATGACGGTAATTTAGACTTGTTTAAATACAAAAAATTTTAGTCTTTCACATTAGAATTTTATATATTCACGTCTTTTTGAGGCCTTTATGGTGGTTATATTAACTGGTTTAGTTTATGTATTTTTCCTTTTCTCTTTTAATTTTTCCCCTTGTTGTCCCCGAGGCTGTCTTCAATCACCTTTTGCCTTTCACTTCGACGTTTTGATTTTGTATAGGGGAGGGGGGGGGGGGGTGGAAATTAGGAGTGGTTGATGAGATATAGGTATATTTAAAGTAGAGAGAAGGTTATTAACATTTTTATGATTTTGTGGCATAATAATTTTTAAATTTTCTTTTTGCACTTTAAAAAAGTAAATTTTTGGTAATTAATTTTAATTTAAAATTATTTTTGTTTTGATTTAAAAATTGATTTCGATTATTTTCTTTATATCTACAAAAATACAAGTCCACCTATGTTTTCTGTACTTAGGAAAATATTTCATACAAAAAAGTGAACGGAAATAAATAAATATTCATGTTTTATTAATTTAAATTTATTATGAACTTTAGTAAAAAAATTAAATAATAATTAAATTTGTTTGAAGAAAAGTTTTTTATATTAATTTTTTGAATATTTTAATTGACCTTCTTCTTCCTTCCCTTTTTTCCTCTAATTAAATCAAAAACAAAAAATATAAATATATTTTTGGGTATTTATTTATTATATTTTTATTGGGTTTGTGAATTAAGCGTAAAAGTCAATTGTTCAAAGTTTTTATTTTTTAAACATTTTCTTTTCTCTCTTTTATTTTTTTCTGTCGCGCACGCGTTTTGTCCATAAGAAAAGGAAACAAAACGGTTTTTACTTTAATTTGTTCAAAAAAAAACAAAAACAATATGTTTGTTGTTTTGATAAAAAAAGGAGAGAGAAGTTTTTTAATTAAATAAAAATTAATTTTATATTTTATTTTAATTAAGGTTCTTATTCTAATACATATTTTTAGGTTTGTCGGTTCGGAACTAAGGAACTTGAGTGTTTTCGGTTCCGGATATTCAATATTTTTCAAAAATTGGCAATCTTAATTTTTAGAGATATTTTTTGAAATTTTATGTAAATTTACTATTTTTATTTTTTAAAATTATTTTCTTTATTATTCCAAATTAATTTTTTGATTCTAATAATTTTTATTTTTATTAATCTCTAATCTTTTTTAAAATAAAAATTCTTTTAATAAACATTCCTCCTTCTTTGGTCCTTTTAAAAAATCATTTATTATAAATACATTTATTTATTGGCCCCATCATTTTCTACAGGTTTCTTTTTTAGCGTAATAAATACTAGGCGTTAAATATATAAAAATATTTTTTACTTATTTTTGCTTTTTTTTACGCGCATTTTTCTTTTGCAATTTCCATCAAAATTCCAATTTTTTCTGTGAAGGTTTTGATATTTTTGCATAAATGTTAGGGGAGGTTATTCTATATTTTTGTTGCAAAAAAATTTTTTTTAATTATTAAAAAACAAAAAAATTTTTTTAAAAGGATTTTAAAAAATATTTTTATTTAAAGTGAATGCTCTAAAAAATAATAGAGTTGGTCAAGAAAATTCTGAGAGATTTCTTTGTTAAATTAATTCAATTTCTTTTAAATTCCTCCATAATAAACCTGCATTTAGTTAAAACCTGAAAGCCGAATGATCGGTTTTGACCAACAATATATTCATTATTTATGCCTAAACATACATAAATAATTCAATTTTTTACAGCTCTTTTTTTTTAATTTTCTTTGTTTAAACAACAATTTATTTTATATAAAATATTTTTATTTTTAGTAATAAAATAAACTAGTAAAATAAATTTTTAATTAATATTAAAAAAATAAAATTACAAAAATATTTTTTGCCAATAAAATTCCGTTGCGCTATTCAATATCTTTTCTTTAAATCTTTCCTTTCCTTCTCCTTTAAAAAAAGAAGGTTATAACCTGGCAGTAAGTCGGGCATAAAAATGAGAGAATTTTTGTTTTTATTTTTTTATTCGAATCGACCACCCCCAAAATGATTTAAAAAAAAGTTTTTCCTTTCGCAAAAAAGGGGGGGGGGGACCTTGAGGAGAAGAAAAGAAAGGCACAAAAATAAATTGAAGGCCGATACGACGAAAAATTCCTCGATTAAATGAATTAATTTTTAAAATATTTGCCAGACGGCCTCCAATGTTTTTATTAAAAATAATCAAGTATTTTTAAATATAGAAATTAATTTTTATTTTAATCCTGGGGACAAAATTTAAAAATAATCTTCTTTTTTTTTTGTTCACTATATTAACTTTTTAATTTTAATTATTATGTTTTATCAGGATGTTTTTAAAAAATAAAAAAATGTTTTTAAGAAGAATATTTAGGGCGAATTTTTGAATCAAATATTTATTTATTTTCTGTCTCGAAGTAAAGTAATCAACTTTTTATTTTTATTTATTCATCATTTCTTCTTTAAATATTACAATTAATTTTAATTATTTTTAAAACTTTTTATATCCCTTAAATGTCCCAATTTATTTTTAAATTTAAAAAAATAAAAGAAAAATGATTAAAAATGAGCAAACAATTGAAAATAAAATAATCTTTTTTTTCTTTAAATTTTATTTTTTAATTTGTCATTTTTCTTTTTATTCATTGCCCAATTATACCTATACCTACTTTCTACTAAATAAATAAATAATTTTATTTGTTATTAAGACGAAGAAGGTTTTTTTAAATTATTATTTTTGAGTGTTTTTTTTTAATTTTTTAAAAGAAAAATGATTACTCATAAATAAAAGGATATTTTAAGAAATAAATTTATTACTAATTTTAATTTTGATTGCGCAATTGAATTAAAATAATTTTTGAAATAAAAAAATAAGTAAAAATTTAAGCTAATTTATTTATTTAAAATATAAATTTTGAACATTTTTTGGAGGTTAAAAAATAAAAAAAAGATTTTTTTATAAATTGATAGAATTCTTTTAAAATATTTATTTAATTAATAAAGTTCCACTAAAATAAACTTTATTAAAATATTCAGAAAAATATTTTTTGGTCAATCGTTTTACTTTTATTTGCAAATATTTTCTCTATTTAATTAGGGAAATATTTAATATATTTTAGACATTTTTTAAAAATTATATTATTATTATTGTTGTTGTTTTTTTGTGTTTTTGTTCTTTGCGCAAATTTAGGTAAAAATAAATGCAACATTAATGTTTGGTTTAATAATAAAATTTTATTTCTTTTTATTTAACTTAAATTTATTTATTTTTATTTTTTTATTACTAATTTTTTGGTTTCTTTTTTATTTTTCTTGTTTTAGAACCCTTTATTTTTGATAATTAAAATAATTTTTATTATTTATTTTTGGCTAAATTAATTTATTTATTACTAACAAAAATACAAAAAGAACTTGATTTTATTTTAAAAATTTAAACATTAAATTTTGTAAAATAAAATTTAAATTTATGTAATTTAAAGTCAAAAAAAAATTTTTTTTAATTTAAATTTTGAATAATATTTCTAAAAAAATCTATTTATTTTTAGATATCCTTCCTATGATTATTGAAAGAATTAAAATTATTTAAATTCTTCTTTAAACTTAAAAAAGGTGTTTTTGTATTGTTCTTCCTTTTTTGTCTATTATTATGGCTCCAATTATATTAAAAATTATTATTTGCTTTGGTTTTATATTATTAAATAAAATATTAATTTTAAATTCAATCCCTGTTGGTGGAAAGCCTCCAGAAGATTTTGGTAAATAAAATAATAAATAGTTTTTTTAAATAAGTAATGGGGGGGGGGGGATATCTTTAATTCCAAACTACTTGTAATATACTTTCCCTTCAAAAATTTCCTCATTTATTTATTAAAAAAAATAAATTAAAATTAATTTGCAAAAAAAGATTGTCCTTCCCCTTATGGCAATATTTATGGAAATTCCCTTTTTGGAAATGATGCAATTGAGTGGGAACAAAAAAGGCAATTTTGGTTAACAATGGATGTTTATTCAAAATCTTTAAATGATTGTGTACATCAATGTTATGGATATAGATTTTGGTGTTTTAAATTAATTTAAATTAATTAAAAAAAATTTAAATTTAAATAGTTATTCAATTCTTTTTTTGTCAAATAATTCAATTAAAAAAACTTGTCGTCTTTTTCTTCATTCAAGTGACGATTGTAATGGAAAAATATTGTTATCTACAGATAAAATTGAAAAATTAAGTTTAGAAGAAAATAAAAATGTAGTTGTTGTTGAATGTTTAAAATGTAGAAAAATTGAAAAGGAAGAGAATGAACCTTTAATTAGTGGACCTGAAGATGTCCCTAAAGGATTTAAAAGATTAATATCTTCAGGTATTTATCTAAATTTCCTTATTTGATCCATTAAATCTTCCTAAAAATTAAAAAAAATTTTTTTTTGAAGTTAATCAACAAAAACAAAACGATGATCCATTAAAAAGTTCAGTAGAGAATGGTGAAGGAGCGAATAAAGCTATAATATCCCCAAATAATAAAGCAAAAGAAAATGGGGGAGAAAGGATAGATGAAGAA